AAGAAACATAAGTACTAATTATTTGACGTCGAACTGGGTTTATTAACGAATGAACATCATAACACAAATAAAGATATATTGAAATCATAATTAAAACATCAATTAATGAATAATTGAATATATAATTTTAGCATATTATGTGACCAAGTGTAATTCTAAGCTATTTCTCATTATTATATTATGCATAAAAGAAACATACATTAAGCGTAAAATAAACATATATACTCAATGAATTATTAGGCGACACAATGTTACAGTATTGGGCCTTTATATCAGGTTCAGATGACAAGACTAGTTCAACATCTTATAATACTTTTATTCTCTGCTTCTTACATATCACGTACAAACATCGTAATGTTAAAAGATTCCATAACTAACTTGTATTGAGGGAGCCATGTCCTAGCTTGGCTAGGCACGAGTGTGCCAACTCCCAGACGCTCTCCCTCGTTCCGTCTCGGCTAATGCCATGGAGGCCATGGCCTCCGCTCTTGTGTCCTTGCCCGGACCTCACTCACTATGTCGTTTCCCTTCTGGGTTTATAAACCCATCAAAACAAAGGATCTTATTAGACACCTGGCTAATGTATCATATCAGGTCTAACATTTAATACATGCTTATCAGACAAAAACAGTTTAATAAAACATGCCACCAACAAGTTAAGGTTACATAATGACACAAGGAATGCTACCAAGACCTCCAGGGGTGTCGATAGTAGATAGGTTTAAAATCACTTTCACGTGTCAAGATGGTAGGAAGCGTCTATACAATCTGTCATTATGTAACAACAATTATAAACTAACTCACCTATACGAAACATACGTACTAATTATTTGACTTCGAACTGGGTTTATTAACGAATGAACATAATTGTTCGTATTTCGTCTCTTATATTTATACCCAGTCGCTATCGCCAACTTAATATCTTAATAATAATTAAACTAGAAATATTTCAACATATACATAATAACAGTTAAACATATAATACAAAATGTGATAACTCAAATATAGGTACTAAGATAGATGTTCAGAAAAGGTAAATAGATAAGAGTGCGTTCAGATTAGAACGATCGGGGTTCGGAGTAAAGATTAACATATCCACTTTAAAGCAATTAGTCAGTTTAGATACGTAATTACATGTATATCAAAATATGTACTATAACACTAGCAATGATCTCTTTCACATTCGTTTAATATCAAATCTTTGTTTAAAAATTCGTAAAAATCATTTAAAACCACCAAAAATCATCTGATTTGTACTTGTGTCCAGTTTAAAACTGATTAATTTTGATAATGAGTGTCTAATTTACATGTATTTAATTTCCTGACCACTGTTTAAAAATTAATCATTATACACCAATAAACAGTTGGGTTGTTTATTTTTTAACAGTGATCGAGAAATTAATCGCTTGTAAATTGGACACTCGTTATCAAAATTAAATGGTCAACTTTAAACTGAATTCAGGTATAACTTAGATGATTTTTGGTGATTATAAAAGATTTTTACGAATTTTTAAACAAAGATTTTATATTAAACAAATGTGAAAGAAATTAGTGCTAAATACACAATATTAAATGATACCCCGATTCGGTTACAGTGGTGGTTCTCAAACATTTTCTGTCAATGGCACACCCTGGAACACATGAAAAAAATAGCGGCAAACCTGGCTCAATATATATGAAAAAATATTTGAATTTTACAAAATAAACACATGGCAAGTGATAGACGGCATACAACCGTAGACATAGACTAGTCATAAAAACATAGAATGACTCAAACTAAATAAAGACAAACACAGCTGTGACCTTACTTTATTCATTGCAGTGTTTCGAATTTCATCAGTTAAATAGCTGGTTTCGCGGCACACTTAGGAAGATCTCGCGGCACACCTATGTGCGGCGGCGGTACAGTGATTGCGAATCACTGATATCGCATTTATTAAGTAAATAACACACAGTTCACAGTTACTCCAACATTAAGTTACTTAACATAGAAAAATAGACCAATTAAAGATTTCGTTTCGTTTTATTATTAATAGTGTTACAATTCCGATGATATAACTGGATTCAATTATGTAAACAAGACGTAAATAATGAAGGATGGTCCATTTACCTGGTCAGAAAGTTTTAACTCAATAGAATTGGCTACAATTTAATAAAATAGATATCCAGTTACTACAATAGGTGTTGACGCGTACATACAAATCTGAATGTTTGATCACATTAAACCTACTTTGTTCCCACCAATAACTTCCGACTACATTTGTGCACGACATGGAGTTATTACCCCGATTCTCGGCCTGGCACTTGTGCTTTGACTGTAATAAGGAAAAGAGGGACGATAATCTGAATGTTTGGCCACATTAAACCGACCCTATTCCCACTAATATCCTCCGACTAAATGTTTGCACGACATGGAGTTAGTAAGGTTACCTCGATTACCCAGATTCATGGAGAGGGTCGTTAAGCACAGCTGTGATATCTGCCATTAAACACATGGCTTACTAACCAGCAAGTCCGATGTTAGTCCTGCTGTTAGGTCGAGAACGTTAATCAGGAGTATCATGTATGGTTATGCCCGTTATCATTAGTAGAAGGTTAATGCACATTTAAACATACATTATGCAAGAGCTAAATCTGTCTATTGCAGGTCTTTCTTTAGGCCTGAAATGTTATCTAAATTATTAATTAGACATTAATTAACTTATTCAGATCATAATCAACTCTAGATGGCATCGCTAGCCTACGATCTTTAGTGGATTATGAGCCGATTTACTGCATAACTTTCCTTCACGATTTAACGATTAAATGGATAATCGAGACTATGCTGTTTATCGTACTGACTTTAGTAATGATGATCGAGGCTAGGCGTAAATTTCAATCGCTTAGTTCTCGGTTCATAGTAGATCAATTTGAATAAAATTTTCAGCAAATTGCCTTTACATTATCTAGTTTTTAACTATTATAGTGAGAATTGCCAGCTCTTTATCTAATCTCCCATAATGTATCTTTAAGTTTTGTTTATACGGTCGACACAGTAATACATTCCCAGAGTACAAACAATATCAACAACAATGTTAGCTGGCAAATGCGTAAGTATAAAAAATGATTTAAAAGGTGCTCAAATTAAATCATGATATTGGCATTGGGTCGTGTCTTGAAAGGCTTGTGCATAAAATTAGCAGTAACAAATGCTGATTAATTCTTCCTTTGATGTTTTCCATGTAGTCTTTTCCCAATTTTAGATTCTGTAAAAAAAACATGGTACTATTTACAAATGACAATAATGTTAAAGGCTTTAAAAATTATCAACATATTTTTTTAGAAGAATCAGAGGCGTTATATAAGACGGACACCCCCTCATTGTGTAAAATTAGACATTAGTCACATAGTGGATCCAAGATGGTGACCGTTTAGCGGATTTTTAGGAACTTTAATATTTGAACTCAACACAGCAGACCTTTGAAAACCTATTGAAGGCCATATTAAAGGGCATGTAAATTGAAAAATCGAGGAAACTTTAAAATTGGCCATTTTGGTGGCCATATTGGATCAAAGATGACCTCGTTTATTGGATTGTGTTGAAACATCAGCACCACCGAAAACCTATAAAAGTATATATTAAAAGGCATGTAAATCGAATAATTGAGGTAAAATGGGGTTTAACGTCCACTCGACACAACTAGGTCATTTCGGGACTAACATATGGTTTAATTTTATTTCAATAATTAGCTTGCGCATAGGGGTCTTTAGCAGTGGGAGGAAACCGGAGGACCCGGAGAAAACCCACGAGGTTGGACAGGCGACCCTACTCCTTGTCACGTACAACCGGGGATTCGAAACCACGCCAGTCGACTCAATGACAGTCTTTATGATACAGCGCGCGCACGCTAACCATTCAGTCGTCCAACCCCCATTGGCATTTTGGAGGCCATATTGAATCAAAGATGGCGGTTTTTTTACCGGATTGTAAAGAAACATCATGTTTTGAACTCGGCATCGCCGAAAACCTATAAAAAGACATATTACACGGCATGTAAATTGAATAATTGAGGTAAAATTTAAAATTTGCCATTTTCGCAGCCATTTTGGCGGCCATACTGGATGGAAGATGGCGGTCGTTCATCGGATTTTTTCAGAATATTATTTATTTTGAACTTAGCACCCCAAAAAAACTATAAAAAGACATATGAAACGGTATGTAAATTGAATTATTGAGGTAAATTGTAACATTTGCTATTTTCGCTGGCCATTTTGGATCCAAGATGGCGCTGACCTGACGGGGGCGTAGTCTGTTCATTTTGCATATAAATATACGTACTCCGTCTTCTACTAAGCATTTTTCTCCTGTTTTTATTTCCAGATGTCCTTTTCTTGTTTCTAGATCTTCGTTTCTTCACATCTCTTTTCTTACCTTAAAAATGACGAATCAAAAGATGAGATTTGAACCCATCTAATCAAAATCTGTCTTTTTGCTTATACTTCGAATGTAAACCACTTTAGCATGTACTCAGTGAGTAAGAATCTTAATTCAGATCTGTTTACCTCCCCGACCCTTCCGCATTAAAATCATAAATATTCACCAAACCGGGACACAAAATGTAAACCCAAACATTCTAGAACAAATGATCAATAAAATGTTCCATGTGAAAACGTGGAAAGGTCAAGCAATAACTGTTATAAATATACGAACTGTATTCGCTAAATGGGAGAAATAATTACTAGCCTAAATCCTTATATATCACCGGAAGTATCGTTTGTTTGATGAATAACGCTTGATTGGAGACGTTCTTGCACATTTTAGCACATATGACGTCACATGTGGATTGCGGGGGGGGGGGGGGTTATGACCTGCAGATTTCGTCAAAGTCTCTTGATGTAAAACAGTGCTAGCGCTAACCCTAACCTTAACGCTGGACAAAGCCTAACCAAATCCTCACCCACAATCCACATGTGACGTCATATGCGCATATGACGTCATATCCGATCTAGTGTTCTCCGTTCTATTTACCTTTCTTTACTTTATGTTTACGTTCATTCCTCTTTGGTCTTTTGGGGAAATATGTAGATTTCCCACCACACGTTCCAACTTCATCCACGATGACATCATTCTCAGTTTGATTGGTTACAGCAACTGAAAGAGAATTTGTCATTTTCATTTCAATACACAACTCGTCATCAAGATACACGCATGCGTTTGGGGCTAATTGTAATTCATTGCCAAGATACTGGTGTTTTCTTAATTATTATAGCTTATAGTAATCTGAATAGACTGGTGTTCAGATTTTCATTAATTAATCTAGTCGGGAGTTATTCTAAATTACCCGGAGAGAGAGAGAGAGAGAGAGAGAAAAAAAAAGATATGGGGTTTAACGTCCACTCGACACAAACTAGGTCATTTCGGGACCCGAAAAAAAAACCCCACAAGGCTGGACAGGCGACCCTACTCTTTGCCACGTACAACCTGGGAATCCAAACCACGCCAGACCTCATGATACAACGCGCACGCGCTAACCGTTCGGTCACCTAACCCGCCATTTAAGATATTCAAGTGTTATAATATAGTAGTTTGCAAGGTCTTCCAAAATCCCCCAAATGATGATCAGCGGCATTACGCTATAGCCTCATAATATAACCCCTTAATTCCATTTAAGCTTGGTTGTCTTTCAAGCTGGGGGCCACGGTAGTTAAGAGGCTGGCTGGCTATCTTGGGGGTTCTGCATTGGCAGAGATAGTTCATCTGGATTTTCCGACGTGGTTTCCATTTGTCAGTGCTGCAGGACGGAGGGCCTGACAAGGACAGCTGACTAGCCATTCGGATGAGACGAAAAACCGAGGCAGTTTGAATTCGATATAAGAGTAGGCCACAGTGCCGCTGACCGGGCAGTTTGAATTCGATATAAGAGTAGGCCACAGTGCCGCTGACCAGGCAGTTTGAATTCGATGTAAGAGTAGGCCACATTGCCGCTGACCGGGCAAAATTTCCCTCATGTATGGCGTAAGCCCGTCTTCATTAGCCCAGTCGGAACTGAATAGTAAGACGTTAATTTAATATCGTCTGTGAAGCTGGGTTTACAATAATATAAACGACACAAAAACACCACATAAAGATAACTAACTTACGTTCAAATTTAAAAACAAAACCACGTCCAGTTTTTGAATGTTCCGATGTTTTAAATTCTATATCAATACAGCCGTCTAGAGTTATGAAATCTATTGTGTCGTTTCCACGAAGTTTCTTTCTCTTTACTCGATGTCCATTGGGTGAAACGTACCATATATTAACCCTTTCTTTTGAAGTGTCAAGGTCAAGGTCAAAGTCATCAGCGAAAATGCGTACACCATATTTCTTATTGACACGTAACCGTTTCCTGCAAGTTTTAGTGACTGCTGGGTAATTCCAAGGAAAGCTGTCGTGACTTTTAATAAGACCATTAGTTTCTTTGATTTCCCAATGGTTGTCGTCACATATGTTGTACACGTAACCTTAATTTAGTAAAAATAGAGATATGGATATGTAAATACAGATAATATTTGCCATATTTGGAATGCAATGAAAATTGTGCTGTTTATTGGAAATTCCCGGTAAATCAATGAAATTATCAAATCTTTTCAATTTCCGCTTCAAAAGAAATGCAATGGGGTGTAGGGTCTATTTTCCTGAATCCAACGGGCTAATAAAAGTAGACATAACTGATGCGGTATCTTATGAGAGGAAATGCGCTCGGGAAGAGGTGTTTCCGCGGATACTGATCTTGGAAACATTACTGACGTTCTTTTACGTGTACATCCGAGTTTATCATTCCATTCAAACGACCGTATGCCCTTTCTTATTCGGTCGTCTATCCTCCATTACTGACGAGGGGGACAGACCTTGAACTTTCTCTGCCCACAAAGGGGCCCACTGAGGCGCTTCAGAGATTTATTTATGTACAAATGCATATAGCTTCATATGGTCCATGAGAGGTCCGTAGCTATTGGGGGTGGGCAAGAGGGACAGCTGGTTCTGGAAAAAAATCGGCGCACCTCTTGCACCACCCCCCCCCCCCCCACAAGATCGAATTTGAGACATTTTTGGATTATAATTATAACAGAATTACCCTTTGGAACACACTGAAAGTAGCTCATCATGGTATAACTCGGCATCAAAATAAAACATCTTTCTACTGATGTCATGGTTATTGGAATTCCCTCTTGCCATGACAGGTTACAAGAATTTAACCAATAGCAGCCATTTCTCTGAGCAAGTAAGGTGTGAATCAGTCCTGTGCAGTCACCGTCTCTATGGTAACACAGGTTGTTGTTACTGGCACCCACGGAAACTTCCGGTTTGTATATGACGTGATTTAATGGACAGGTCAATCGAATGCGGTCGGTTTTGCTGTTAATACATTCTTCAATACTGGCAAAAACTGTAATTAAGATGAAAAAGCGACTTTAATACATCAAATGAAATTAAATGGCGTATGACTATTCTTTGCAACCTTAAACATACATTGCAAGAGCTAAATCTGCCAGTTTTCTGGATTAGAACCAGGTATGCTGCTTCTGATTTTAATGTATAATAGAGACTATGTTTTTTATCGTACCGATTTTAGTTATGATGATCGAGGCTTTGCCCAAAATTCAATCGCTAAATTCTCGGTTCAGGGTGGATCAATTTGCCTGAAATTATCAGCAAATTTTCTTTACATTATCTAGTTTTTAACTATTATAGCTCGTTATCTAATCTCCCATAATGTATCTTTAAAACAGCCGAAAATTGGTCCAAAAGCAAATATTAATGTAATATAAATGTATATAAAGTGATTTATATTCAATTGTTTTAAAAATTGTGTTTGGTGAAACGCGCGAACAGTCGAAATTTAACGACAGTTCTTTACTCTTGCTTGGTCCATTCTACACGTTTGTTAGTATTATTATTTTGTCGTTTGTGAATCAGCCATTATTAAAGATACATTATGGTAGATTCCATAACGAGTTGGCAGTTCTAACTATAATAGTTAAAAACTAGATAATGTAAAGGCAATTTGCTGAAAATTTCATTCAAATTGATCCACAATGAACCGAGAACTAAGCGACTGAAATTCCCCAAAACCTCGGTCATCATTACTAAAGTCAGTTTGATAAACAGCATAGTCTCGATTATCCATTTAATCGAGAAGGAAAGTTGTGCAGTAAATCGGCTTACAATCCACTAAAGATCGCAGGCTAGCGCTGCCATCTAGAGTTGATTATGGTCTGAATAGGTTAATTAATGTCTAATTAATAATTTAGATAACATTTCAGGTCTAAAGAAAGGCCTGCAATAGACAGATTTAGCTCTTGCATAATGTATGTTTAATTACTTTCACATTGTCTTGTAGGATATGTTTTCATTGTCCGTTACAAATAGCATCCGAAACCATAGAATACACGACTCATAACCAACTGTTCACTGACTCTTAAATATTGGATATAAGGATCTCAATTTTCCCCTACAATATAACATCGCCAATATTGAATAAAATGGATAAATATTGAATTAGTGTTTTTAATTTCGAATATTATATAAAATATTGAGTTTGAGGTTTAGCTCCTTTAATGACCATTTTCAGGAAAATGATTTTTACAAGAAATCAATCTTTATACAAGCAGGCTTTCACGTCTATGTTGGCTTGGTTAAATTCGAGTGGACATGAACGCAAGAGAATCCGAGACAAAAGCTCCCCTTGTAGAGTTCAAGTTGTTCACCCTACTAAACTGTAGAGAGGGGTGGGGGATAACGTCCACTCGACACAAACTAGGTCATTTCGAGACTAACATATGGTTCAATTTTATTTCAATGATTCGCTTGCGCGTAGGGGTCTTTAGCCGTGGGAGGAAACCTGGGGACACGGTGAAAACCCACGAGGTTGAACAGGCAACCCTACTCCTTGTCACGTACAACCGCGAAATCGGAACCACGCCAGTTGACTCAATGACAGACCTTATAATACAGCACGAACGCGCTAACCATTCGGCCATCCAAACCCCTATATTATGTTAAAGTGTTGGGTTTACTTACCTTGGGGAGTATCTGAGTATGTTCTGTTAACAATATCTGTTGATAGTCTAATTCTTTCCTCTAGAAATACATAATATAAACATGACCTTCTATACTCATTTACTCTTCATTGGTCCAATCGGAGCAGAACAGTAGGATGTTAAACCCCATTTCATTTCTATCCTGTTTATGTCAATCGTGAGCTCTGTGTTACGGCCCTCATCCAATCTTACTGTTTTGCACAAAACTAGTCAGGAGGTCTGGACAAAGGCGACGTCTTTTTGCAGACGCTACCCATGGCCTTAGCATGCCATATTTGATAGACACCACTTTCTCCAAATGTATTATAACGGTAAATCTCTTTGATCTTTGGGGTATATTCTATGCCCGGAATAACTTGCGCTTTGAAAGTCGAGGGCGGCTTTGTATATATACAGGGGAATTTGGGGTTATTCTTCTGAAAGTTTTTCGTCAAACCTGTAACGGGTTATTCATCCAGAGTAGGTTTTTTCCCCATAAGAAAACATGTTACAAGGTTCTTCTTATGGGAATTCTGGGATATTCTCATCTTGCGTACATGTAAACATTGACGGTTTATAAGCAAGATAAAAGTCCTCGACTTCGGTTATGCTGGGGAAGAAAGACTTTGGAAAAAACTGTCGACAGAAGAAAATCGGCCTGCCAACCTCGGGTTTTCTTTTTCTTGGGTTATTTTCTTCAGTCTTTCTTTCCCCAGCATAACCCCCGTCTCGTGCTTTATCCTACACATATTAGATCTTCAAGATTTTCGTTATTTAAGAACATATATGTCAGTTTCTAAACAGCTTCGGATTACAATTTCGGTTGGTAAACCTGTATTTTTATGGTCCTACGATACAATGTTTAATACCATCCTTCCTAATGACCAGAACAGTAATTCCACTAAAGCATTTTCTTTCAGGCAAATCTTAATTAACATGTGTGGACTCTCCCTGGAACACCCCATAACACTTTCAATTAATGAGAATTCACACGGCTTAAAAATGTTAAGCTGTACTTACTTTGAAATCTGATCACAAAACCACGACCTATTTTCACCCCAGGTGACGTAATGAAATTTATTTCAACCAATCCGCTAATAATAGTCAGGGTTTTACTCAAGGCTGTAGTGACGTTATACGTTACGTCATTAGCTATGTCTCGTATGACAAGAGAGTCTCCGTCTTGGGTTTCAACATCATCTATCATTAATTTCAATGTGTAACCTTGATTCACAGCAATATATTTGGTGCATTTCTGCTTTGCAGACCCATACGACCACGGATATTCTGCGTGACTTCTTATTACGCCCTCTATGACGTCAATTTCCTTTTCGCTTGCGTCACAAATACTAAACAGGTGCTCTGTAAAGTGTATAAACAATAAACTGTCAGTACAAAAATAACTTGAATGTATACAAGGTTGATCTGTTTGTTAATGTGGCACTGACTCACTAAACAGGAGAGACTGGGGTCAGTCCCGGGGCCTCGTTTTTTCGTCCCATCCTAACGACTAGACAGCTATCCTTGTCAAGCCCTGCACCACTGACAAGGGGAAACCCCGCCGAAAAATCTCAATGAACTTTCTCGGCCAACACCGGAATCGACCCCGTGATCTCCAGGCTAGTGAACCAGCGCCTTACTCACCTAGCCACCGTCTCCCCCCCCCCCACCGGGTTGGTGCAGACAGGTAGAACGTTAAATAGTTTATCATATAACCTACTTTAAACTATAAACAATCCGGGGTGTTGGATGACCAAATGGTCAATGAGGACGTTGTGCAACAAGGAAGATAAAGCGATAGAAAATAATCTGAGATAGATAAAATTTAAACATTAACCATATTATAAATTAGGTCGTCACGATTTACCTAGCTTATCATAGCTTATCGCTGAAAATAGGAGGATAATTTTATTTACATACACCTCGCTGTTTATTTACATAAACTTAAAGGTACGGTATGGTAAACTTCTGTGCAATGAAATCAAATGAGATAATGCAGTCGGACATACGATTTCTAACTGTCAGGGGGTCTTTAACGTGCTCTGGTTTTGGTATCGTATCGTTCTTTTGCTTTTACTTTTCAAACCACCCGCTCTGCTATACTGGCAAATCGGAAACTAGGCTGAAAAAATATAGAGGAACCAGGGCCCGGCCCCAATTGTCTGTGAACCAATGTTTTACGCACCGAGCCACAAATGTGGAGCATATTGCATTCATATTGAGAGGGGGGGGGGGGAAATAAAGGTTAGCGCGCGTTGTTTCATAAGGTCTGTCATTGGGTTAATTGGCGTTAGTCATTTAGGGACTAATTAACATATGGTTCAATTATATTTCAATAATTCGCTTAGTGGGAGGAAACCGAGGGACCCGTAGAAAACCCACGAGGTTGTACGGGCGAGCCTACTCATTGTCACGTACCATCGGCGATTCGAAACCCCGCCAGTTGACCCAATGACAGACCTTATGATACAGTGCGCACGCACTAACCATTCAATCATCCACCCCCCACCCTTGGTGTAAACCGTATATTCAAATTACGCCATATGAAAATATATTTCTAATCAGCGACCGAAGTGCAAATTCTCTTTAATAGATAGATATCTTTAAGAGGTTGCTAATCTTTCATGTAAAACGGCCTAGTCGTAATTTAACGTGCTTATCTCTGTGTAAAAACTATCAATTTATACATAACGCAACATGAGCTTATTTTTTGTATACAAAACGATGATGGGTGTCTGTTTATGTTTATTATAAGCTGGTTCTGTTTCTAGATTGGGTAAACAGCACAAGGTCTGCATTTAGCATTTTATCTTCGTAGTCATAATAACCTGGTTTTAGGACCATCTCATTTTAGCACTTATTTGAGGTCAACTTGCAGGATGTAATGGCTGTGGTTTTGTTTTAAGCCCTGTTTCCACCATTCAGCTCACCAAAATCTTCTATCATGATGTTCCACGGGAGCATGTGAAGGACGCAGGTTATACTACCTATCTGCTTGTCCCATAGAAGTTACGTTTCCGTAAGTAGTAATAAACGTTAAAAAAAAAAATCCCGAACGATTAGTGTAATGCGAGGTCGGGAACAGCAAAACGTGACTAGCAGACGTGATTGCACGTGTGCGCTAATGAGACCATGAAAGGACTTCGGGTTATGCTTCACATAACTTCTCAGTCCCGAACTTTGAAAGTCACCCTTTTTCATATGGTACGTAGTTTATAAGAGTCGAGAATAGATACACTTCGTTGCCTCACTGCGGCGGCTATTTCCCTTGTTGGAGAAATATGATCACAAATCTATCTACCAGGCATTATATGTGTCTACGAAAAATCCTCACAATGAAATGAAGACAGGCATACGCCATACAGTGTGCTATGAGGGAAATTATGCCCGGACAGTGGCACTACGGCCTACTCTTATATCGAATTCCAACTGTCAAGGGATCTATTACGTGCACGTCAATGTGTACAAGGGATCTCGTTTTTTTCGTCCCATCCGAACGACTAGACAGCTGTCCTTCGTCCTGCATCACTGAGAAAGGGGGAACCACGTCGGAAAATCTGGATGAACTTTCCTCGGCCAATGCAGGGATAGAACACACGACCTCCAGGCCAGCGTCTTAACCACTTAGCCAACCTGACCCCCAGATAGCCAGGGGATAATAACAATTTACGTAGTTCACGCCACAACTTTCTATTTGGTTTGTAAATATTGAATTTAATTTTACCTTCTTTAATACACAGGGGATTTGAGTAGGCCACATAGTTCGCCGTCTCTCCAGTACATCTTCTGTCGTCTGTTTTAAGGATTACCTGCCCATTTCTCCAACCAACAGAACAAGATTCTCTCCAATAGCATTTGTTGTTTTGCTTCAACACACTCAGGGATTGGCCGATGCAGTCCCCATCTTCATAGCTGCAAGTTGATTGGTTGCCTTTACCAAGAAATATCATTGGACGATAGATCACATGACCTTTCGGACAACTGAAGTAAATGTGTTCCCTGCGTTTAAACAGGCAGCGACTGATTAATCCGTCATTTCCTGTAAATATATTAATTTAAAATTACAAGTCCATGCGACTGTTGGGTGTTTGGCAGGGCCGTAACTAGCTCAGGGCAACCAGGGGGGGGACGTGTTCTTAGGGATGCTGTAAAATTGACGGACAATGTATATCTACTTTTTTTTATGGTCGACAATTTATTCAGGGGGGGGGGCAAAACTTTTTTCAGGGGGAGCTTCACCCCACCCACCCCTGCGCCCCCTCCCCCTAGTTACGGGCCTGCTGTTTTGTCAGTGTAATTAGCCATGTAAGACATGAAATGGGGTTTAGCGTCTAAATTTTTGCAATAACCTGGCTAGTTAATCAACTCGGGCATACCTCATGCATTGTGCTATGGGGACACTCGGCAAACCTCGGTAGATTCCGTTACTCTACATCTAGCCTCGGCTGTATGACGTTAAGTGATATGTACCTACGCTTATACAATTGCGATGCGGCACCGGTTTAGTTATTAGGAAATCTTGCCGCTTTTAAAAAGAAGTTATCAAAATTGCGTTGTTCGAAGCGTGTGTAGAATTTTCAGTGCAAAGTTGTCCTTGAAAGAAAAACAGCTTCAGACTTTGAAATATTTGTATGATAAAACATTCTTCAAAGGCGTCGTCATGGGCAACGCCCTTGGTAATCCTGGAACTTGAAAGTAGTTCCAATAGCGGACTTCGTAATACAGCCGAGGCTAGATGTAGGGTACTGGAATCTGCCGAGGTTTGCCGAGTGCTATGGGGAAATTTCGCTCGGACAGCGGCCTTACGGCCTACACCTATTACGAATTCCAACTCTCAAGAGTTCTTTTATAGCTCATGTCAATATATACACGGGGCCGCTGTTTTTTCGTCCTACCCGAATGATTAGAATCCGTTTATTGTCATCTACTATCTTTGCTGTTTTATCCCTAATGATTCATTTGAGCTCGTCATTAGCTTGTCGTGTGAATTCACACGGAAATTGTTCGGGTGAAGCGCTTAAAAAGGCATTATGGAAGAAAGTATAAAGAGCTGGCAGTTCAAATAATTTAAAAATAGATTACTTCACTCTGAGTCGAGAAATACCTATTTTAAAAACATTGTAGCCTCAATCGTCATTGTTACTGTTGCTATAATAAGAATACACAAATTCTCGATTATCCAGTTTTACTGTTAATCATTACAGCCGTTTAACGACAGGGCGGATTCAAATCTAATAAAAAATCAGATGGCATCGAAAGTTGATTATGGTCTTGTCATGCCAATAAATGTCTAATTAATAGTTTATATAACATTTCAGCCAAAAGAAAGACTTGCAATAGGCAGATTAAGCTCTTGCATAAGACTCGAATGACCAGTACAGTGGTTACGATCAGTTCACACATCTTGTCAAAACTACAACTATTGATAACTTCGCCCAAAATAAAGTAATTTGGGTGAAAGTTTCAAAATATTTATTTTGCATTATCTACTAATGCACCTTTAATCAACGTGTCAAAACTTATTAGGGTGTATGTATTTCTGTTCCTGTATGCGATTGAAATGAAGAGAGAGAGAGAGAGAGAGAGAGAGAGAGAGAAATGGGGTTTACCGTCCACTCGACACAAACTAGGTCATTTCGGGACTAACATATGGTTTAATTTTATTTCAATAATTCGCTTGCGCGTAGGGGTCTTTAGCAGTGGAAGACCCGGAGAAAACCCACGAGGTTGGACAGGCGACCCTACTCCTTGTCACGTACAACCGGGGATTCGAAACCACGCCAGTAGACTCAATGACAGGTCTTATGATACCGCGCGCGTGTGCTAACCATTCGACCACCCAACCCCCACTCCTAACTTAAAATCACGACAGGCTTTATGATACAGCGAGCACGTGCTAACCATTCAGCCATCTAACCCCCCCTCGAAATGAAGAAGGAGGTGTCAAGGAATTTGAGCTTTGGGGGTCCAAGGTGGCAATAGCGCGTGGGTTGCGATAAATTGGTGTGTGTGGTGGGGAGAGTGGAGGGGGGGGCGGGATAATCTATAGTTTTATATAATCAGAAGCTTTGTGCTTATCGTCTCATTTAGATGCATGCATGTATAGGGTTAAAGGGGTGGGGGGGGGGGCTAGAACAAAGCGGCGTCAATGTTTTGCTAGTTAGATTTTTCGACGTTATATCGATAAATGTAGCAGACAGAATAAAATAATAAATAGTGAAATTTATCAAGATCAGTGACTTTTCGATGCGTCCGATTTAACTCAAACCTGTTGTCCAAGGCACACGGCCTTTAACAAGTAACTTAAAGCGATAATTTCATATTTTCTAAGAAAGTCAAAACATGATTATTTCTATGTCTTTTGCTCAATAGGTTATCAACTCACTATTATACGATCATGGGCATTATTTCCCACCCTTAAAAATCATTGACACAGGAAATAATAACACAATTACCTCCCTTGTTTTCCTATTGCCTCCATGCATTAGCTACCTTCAAACGTTGGAATTTGAAGTTGAAAATGATATTTTTGCCAATTTCTCAGCTGGCAATAGTGACTTATAGGATTAATAGGATTATTCTTTAACAAGGTAGGACGGTTTATGGATACCGTCTATTATAGGGCTTTATTTTAATAAATTTTAAAAATATAACTATATGAAATTGCAGCTTTAATGAATCGGATAATGCTGTTTGAAGTAGATATGCGTAACTGATATTAAAAAACTGCATTAGTAGAGAGAGAGAGAGAGAGAGAGAGGGTGGGGTTAACGTCCACTCGACACAGAATAGGTCATTTCGGGACTAACACATGATTCAATTTTATACCAATAATTCGCTTGCGCGTAGGGGTCTTTAGCAGTGACAGGAAACCTGAGAACCCGGAGAAGACCCACGAGGTTGAAAAGGCGGCCCTACCCCTTGTCATGTACACCTGGGAAATCGAAACCACGCCTCATGTTCTCTGAAAATTTCTCATTCACAATAACCTATACCAATAACAGCATTAAAATTTCTACGATAAACTCCTCAAGAAAATCGGCGCAACAAGAAATAAAATGAAATGAAATGGGGTGTAACGTTCTACTGTTCAGCGCAACAAAGTAATTTTGTAACACCATGGCTATAACATTAAAGGCTCAATGCCACTCTTGTTGTAACTGAATAATATGCCCCAATCTTTATTCTGGTCAACAAATTGCACTATTTGACAATATTCCAATTAATTGATGATACAAATTTCATCTTAACACACCTAATTTAAACAATTGGAAAAATTCAACTAAATGATTTGAAAAGCCTGACGTAAAGCTTTTCAAATGTGACTTGGATTTAAAAATATTTTTGAACCCTCTGGACAAGTAAAATAGGATTTAATGGATAATTTACACAACAGATAGGACACAAACACATCTAGTACTTAGAATAAGGCTATTTTTTTTATTTTCTGGAGCTGTCAAGCCAGCAAGAGTGTTATTGTCCCTTTAAAACGAAACGAAAATAAAGAAATCACCTTTACCCACTTATTGTAATCATTCAAAGCTATTATAAAAGTGCAAAGTACTATATACTTTGACTGGTTATACAAGTCATTTGTATGAACTGAAAGCAAACATCAATTTAATGGATTTTTTCTCCTTTTGTAACGATTGTTACAAGACTATCGACCAACTTGAATTGCTTTTGATTTATTTTAAACCTACATTATGCAAGAGCTAAATCTGCCTATTTACATATCTTTCTTTAGGCCTGAAATGTTTTCTAAATTATTAATTAGACATTAATTAACTTATCCAGGCCATAACCAGCTCTCGATAGCATCGGTTTTCTCCGATATTAAATAGATTAGAACAGTTCAGTCATATTTTGATTTACGCTTAAAATGGACGAGCGAGACATAGCTTCGAACAACGAGTACGGTGGTTGAAATTATTGCACACTTCTTGTCAAACCTTCAAAGGCTAATATCTTCGCTAGCAATAGGGTAATTTGAATGAAATTTTCAAATTATTCCTTTTCCATTATCTATTTTTGAACTATTATAGTCAAGAATCGCTAGCTCTTTATCTAAATCTTACATAATTTATGTTTAAATCACCCACTGATTGAAATAACACGAACACCCACAGATTATAAAATTCGTAGCCTAAAGCTTATTAGATATAGAAAATGAAAAATTATAAATAATTGTTTTTACTCACCAAAACAATGGATGAATGTCGTTAAAATGAGAAGAAGGAAAATCCGACATCTCATCGTGACAGAGTTCTCTTATTGAAATGTTCTCTTGACATCCGGGTATTTGCGTTAAGTCAGGTTGAACAAGGAAAGATTTACTTCCGGCATAATAATTACCACTGTCATTTTAAACAATAAAACATGACACGCATTGTCCTTTTGAAGTCGGGGATCACGTGGCTAAGTGGGTAATCCCTGCATTGACCGAGAAAGTTCATCCTGATTTTCCGGCGTGGTTCTCCCTTATCAGTGATGCAGGACGGAGGGCCTGACAAGGATAGCTGTCTAGTCCTTCGGATGAGACGAAAAACCGAGGTCCCGTGTATACATTGGAATGCACGTAAAAGATCCCTTGGCAGTTGGAATTCGATGTAAGAGTAGGCGATAGTGCCGCTGCCCGGACAAAATTTCCCTCATAGCACACTGTATGGCGTATGCCCGTCTTCATTAGCCCAGCATAGGAGCAGAACAGTAGGACGTTAAGCCCCATTTCATTTCATTTCATTTCATTTCCTTTTGAAGTCTGTTGAAATGAAATCAAATAGGGTTTGAAGGAATATTTATCTGAACCAACCGGAATAAATGAAGAACGGCATACGCCATGCTGTGTATCTACTCTTCGTCGAATTTGAATTGTTCTTTCACTTCCACGGGAACTGGCCTCATCCGAACGACTAGCCCTCTTTTTCTGATTGGCATGCCCCCCCCCCCCCCTGCCCTTCATCAATGAAAATGGAAAAGCACACTGAAAAATCATGAGAGACTTTCTTGTGCCAGGCCCCAACTGTCGTGCGATGCGTTACGATAGTATTGTCCCTAATGAGTTCACGATCTACTACGTGCAGATACGTTCGGATACGTTTCAATACGACCAACACGATTGCTACGACTGTCGTGTGTTACGATAGTATTGTCCCTAATGAGTTCACGATCTACTACGTGCAGAAACGTTCGGATACGTTTCAATACGACCAACACGATTGCTACGACTGTCGTGTGTTACGATAGTATTGTCCCTAATGAGTTCACGATCTACTACGTGCAGAAACGTTCGGATACGTTTCAATACGACCAACACGATTGCTACGACTGTCGTGTGTTACGATAGTATTGTCCCTAATGAGTTCACGATCTACTACGTGCAGATACGTTCGGATACGTTTCAATACGACCAACACGATTGCTACGACTGTCGTGTGTTACGATAGTATTGTCCCTAATGAGTTCACGATCTACTACGTGCAGATACGTTCGGATACGTTTCAATACGACCAACACGATTGCTACGACTGTCGTGTGTTACGATAGTATTGTCCCTAATGAGTTCACGATCTGCTACTTGCAGATACGTTTCAATACGACCAACACGATTGCTACGACTGTCGTGTGTTACGATAGGATTGCCCCTATTGACTCCGCGATGTGGTACGTGCAGATACGTTCGGATACGTTTCAATACGATCAACACGATTGCTATACGATACGACTGATCACAATATATGATAAGTCCTGATACCTAGCATTAGCGAATACCGCGAGTGAACCAAGGAACTCCTGTGGTAAATGAACCAGCGCCTGATTCAATAACCCACTGTGTCTCCTTTTAATGGCTTTTATGGAGTTTGACGGACGCTCGTAATAATATGACCCAAATAGGTAGATAATCAATAATTAGGGGGATATGATATTAAATAAAATCAATGTTTTGGTGAATGATATTGACCTTATGCAGCATTCTTAGAAAATAAACAAAATGATGTCTAAGGAGAATTAACAAAATATTATTTCCTGGAAAAATATACCTTTATGAGTTTAAGAACCAACTCTATTTCTGGGGAAACATTCGTTCAATTAAACTATTTACTTGGTCAACACGTGCTTGTTTCCTTAGTGCGCCTAAGGAAAAGTAGGGGACTATTAAAGATACATTATGGGAGATTAAATAAAGAGCTGGCAGTTCTCTCTATAATAGTTAAAAACTAGATAATGTAAAGGGAATTTGCTGAAAATTTCAGTCAAATTGATCCATTCTGAACCGAGAATGTAGCGATTGAATTTTGGACCTAGCCTCGATCATCATTATAAAAGTCAGTACGATAAAAAAAAACACAGTTTCGATTATCTATTTTTTTTATTTAATTATGAATGAGCGTTGAGCAGAAGATCGGATTATAATCCAGTAAATATCGCAGGCTAGCGATGACATCGAGAGTTGATTATGATTTGGATAAGTTAATTAAAGTCTAATTGATAATTTAGATAACATTCCAGGCCTCAAGAAAGACCTGCAATTGGCAGATTTAGCTCTTGCATAATGTATGTTTAATATAGGTTCTCCCGTCTATGTGTCCCGCCATATCTGGTGAATGTCTTGACTGTGTTGCGTAATTGTCTGCTTAAGCAGATATAAGCAATTTGATTGATCAATGATTTGAGACACGATAGCTCTACTTATATTTGAGGTAGTATGTTCAAACATGGTTCAGATATTCATTCGTGTTTTGATTGTGTCCAGCGATGGATAATTTCGAGATAAGTTTACACCTCACACGTTTTGGAACATGATGCATCTGTTTCCAATAGTTGAGTAGGTATTCGTTTTGTAAATGCCTTGACTGACTGCGTGTGGTGATGAGCATTTTCTGTTTAGAATAAGCAGAGATAAGCCATTTGATTCGCTGAGACCTAAGAACGCAATGATGATAATTTTATTGGGGAACTGAAATGGAGTTTAACGTCCTACTGTTCTGCTACTGCTGGGCCAATGTAACACTATCTTAATGAAACCGAGATCAGTTTTGTACTTATTAGGGTTTATTTACATCGAAACAGAACATTAAACAGCTACATAAATTAAACAGGAACGAAATTAAAACAGGGGTATAAGCAATAACATTAACATGGTACCTTAAAGCGAGAATTTAATATTTTCTAAGAAAGTCAAAACATAATTATGTCTATGTCTTTTGCTCAATAGGTTATCAACTCACTATTATACGATCATAGGCATTATTTCCCACACTTCAAAATCATTGACACAAGAAATAATCAAAGCCCTGTATAGGGAAAGTTACGACAACTCATTTCCAGGCGCCATTTTGGGTCCCAATTATGACGCCATAAAAGCTATGACTGATAGACTTTAATTAGTGTGTACGTGTTTAGAACAAAGTGCATCATTGAAAAGCCGATGTTTATTATCAAAACCAACTGGGGTCAATACGTTTACTGCACCTAAATAATAGTTCGTATTTTATAAAATTGAAAATTAAGCACTTTGTCACACTAATGAAGACGGGCTCATGTCAACTGCTGTGAGGGAAATTTTACCCGGACAGTGGCTCTGGGCCTTACTATTATATCGGGGTTCCTTTACGTGCAGTGGGGTTGGATGGCTGAATGGTTAGCACGTGCGTTCTGTATCATAAAGTCTGTCATTGAGTCAACTGGCGTGACAAGGAGTAGGGTCGCCTGTCTAACTTCGTGGGTTTTCTCTGGGTCCTCCGGTTTCCTCCCACTACTAAAGACCCCTACGCGCAAGCGAATTATGGAAATAAAATTGAACCATATGTTAGTCCCGAAATGACCTGGTTTGTTTCGAGTGAACGATAAACCCCATTTCTCTCTCTCTCTCTCTCCCTTTACGTGCACGCCAGTATGTACACGTGGCTGGATTTCCAAGGCAGAAAATTTATCGTAAGACGCTTAGATTATTGTCCGATAATAAAATCCTAAATATAAAGGTGTCACCTTAAAACGGCTAAATTTTGTTGTTGAAACTCTATTTGTATTTGGTTTTAAGGGGTCGTTTGAGATAGTATTTGTTAATTCTCATTCAAACATATATTGTATGTACATATAAAATTACACAGGTCAGTGTATAATTATGGGGATGGAACTGGTTGACACCAAGGCCTAATTTACATTGTCAGCATGCTTTATGTATTGTCTATCTCTAATTATAATATACAATCAAAGGCTTTCAGCTGGTTTTTAAATCATAGATAGTAGACATTATCTATAGCCAAGAAGGATTTAGGCCTAGTAGAAACGTTAACCCTCTCGGTGCCGGACGTCGAGAGTTCTCCACACACGTTTTTTCCATTAGACGTTCAGAGGTCGAAAATTCTAGAACTATAAAGGCAATACGTATAGTATCCAGTACCGCTAATAGGTGACGGATTGTCATTTTACCCGTGTACTCCCGTCTTCTTTGGGAATTTCTGGAAACTGGCATGAAAAGAGGTCATAAACGTTGTTTTCGTCCCCAAAAGTCGTGATATTTATCAGAATTTCATGCGATTTATGAAAACGCCTCTTTTAGACCCGAAAATGGCGTAATTATGATATTTTACTTGATACCTAGATATAACTTTGTGCTTGACGAATTCAAAAACCACAAAGTCCTATCTCCATTTATCGTATTTCAGTTAGCCCAAACTGAATGCCACTACATTTGGAAACACCATACACTCTGTTAGCTTCTTATATTGATAGCTTCCCCAGCTATGAAAATTTAGTAAAAATTCATGGAGATTCAAAATTCAGTGATGCAATACTCCATACCCATTTTTCTCAATTTAGGAAAAGGTGGGCAGGCCACGATATCTTTATATCGGCAAATACCAAAACACAACACAGTTATCTGATCAAAGATTTTAGAAGGCGTTTGGCGCGTTCAACCTGTTACCACGAGGTCGAATGGAGCTATAATGAAAGTGTTCTATTTCAGAGACAATTGCCCAAACGAAGATCTACCCCTTGTTCCTACCCCTTCCAAATTCATTAAAATTACCCAGAAAATCAAACTTCAAACAATGTACATTACTTCTAGAGCAAGATATGAACACAAATTTGCATAGAAGGGGACAGGAAACGGTTTTTCTGTAAATATCTCGAATTACATAATATATAACGGTGCATTTCATTGCAATTAGTGGAGGTCCTTGCGTTTGAAGACCCCCCCCCCCCACACACACACACAACCCTCCATCTTCTCTCACAGTATACACAACATATCTGACCTAATTTCAGTTAAATTTTCTGTTAGTTTTATTAGTTTAAATGACAGATTATTTAGCTTCACCAATATCAATCAAGTGACCGAGAGATTCCAAAAGCTGAAAAACAAAATCATAAATAAAATCATACTTTTGTTTGGTAAAATACTATTAACACCAGGTACAATTTTATGGATACACAATTACTGAGTTTAACACTAAGCGACGTTTCGGCGAGGATACTCGCGTCTTTATTGTCGAAACGTCGCTTAGTATGAAACTCAGTAATTTATCGTCGAAACGTCGCTTAGTATTAAACTCAGTAATTGTGTATCCATGAAATTTTACCTTGTGTTAATATGTTCAATTACTAAATGCCAATCAAAGGAGGTAAAATGTTATTGTTCACTTCTTGTGTACAGTTAAAGTAGCTGCATGATTGTCAGAGCTATAATATAATATCATTTAGTACAGGACAACAGATAACCTCAAATATTGTTTCAACCGGCACGGTATTGAAAAATATAGTCATTGATGGATTGTTTCCCTTTGTATCATGGATTAACAGAATGGGGTTTAGTGCCCCCTCAAAACATTACTTTGGTCATTTCCATGGTTACGTGTGCAATGCGTTGGGGCGATTTTCTCGGACAGCAGAGTATTCACCCACTTTGAATTCCGTCTTTCAATGGTTCTTTTACGTGCACTTCAATAATAGTACTTCGTACTTCCCCACAACAATTCGAGATTGGGAATTATTAAAGGACCCCATAAAGCCATCAACCAACATTAAATCCTTCAAATATCTATACAAACAAAAATTACGTTCCTTAATACATAAAGCGCCAATCTACTACTGTAAAGGTAATAGACATGAAAATATTATTGACACTAGAATACGGCATGGGTGTAGTTCGTTGCAAAATGATTTGTATAAAATAAACGTTGTGAATGATCCCACATGTTCTTGCGGCAAATTTATAGAAAATGCCGAACACTATTTCCTGCAATGTCACTTATATGATGTAATTCGTGCTGAACTATTAAATACATTGTCAAATTATTCTGTGATAAATATAGATATCCAATTGTGCGGCAATTCAGAATTGTCAATTGAGATGAATACAAACCTTTTCCTTGAAGTTCACAAACATATCAAACTTTCAAAACGATTTAAATAAAAGTTATTGTTAGTAGTTACATCTTAGAATAAATTATTAGCTATAGCTTTTTTTGGTGGATAACATTTTTTTTTTTTTTTTTTTTTCCGCACCCCCACCCCCCTTTTTTTATTATTATTATTTTATACATGGATCAGTTCATTTATATCCCATTTATTAAACTTTATTTTTCAATGTTTTAAATATAATTTTATATTCTCTTTATCACCTCTTCACTTATTTTATATAGAGCTTTGCGATATAATTCATCTGACTTTACTTATATTACTTATAAATTATTTATTATTCTATATACTATTTCGCAATCTTGTTAGTATTAAATAATGTCTATCATTTGTATGTATGGAAAGGGCTTTTCTAAGTTTTTGAAACTTGTGCTCAATCCTTTTGATATTTGTCAATAAAATATGTTTTTAAACAAAAAAAAATAGTACATGACCATTCATCTCATACGAACTTCTTTCTTTAAGATCAGGTGTTTTAAATTTAATTTTATATTTTGTATGTTATGTCCCAACCCCCATTAAAGGGAAATTATGGGAGATCAGATAAAGAGCTGACGGTTCTTGCTATAATAGTTACAGGGGCGTTAGGGAGATTAGATAAAGAGTTGACAGTCCTCGCTATGATAGTTAAAAAAAATAGATAACGTTAATAGGTGCTGAAAATTTCAGTGAGATTGTTCCACTCTGAACCGAGATATTAGCTTTTGAATTTTAGTCTAGCCTCGATTATCATTACTAAAGTCGGTTCGCTAAAAACAAAGTATAGATTATCCATTTTTACGTTTAGTTATTTTTCAAAAAATGTATTCCAATCCGCTAAATATCGCAGGCTAGCGATGGCATCGAGAGTTGATTATGGGCTGGATAAGTTAATTAATGTCTAATTAATAACTTAGATAACATTTCAGGCCTGAAGAAATACCTGCAATAGGCAAATTTAGCTATTACATAATGTATGTTTAATATTAATATCATTAATACATTGACGTCATTATTAATGTGACGTCATAATGTATGTTTAAGGCGGGCGGAAATAAACCAATAATTTGAATTCGTTGTGTATGAAAGGATACACATTTACTTACGATTGTCCAGTAGTGTACAAATTCATCTTCTGTTACCAAGCCATCCTCTGTAATGTAATATCAAGAGTGGAATCTAAACATACACCTTTAGAAATATCTAATGTTTGGGCATTCTCTAGAATCCAAGCATTTTTGAAAAAAATCTAACTCGTTGCAGTGTTTCAATAACAAGGCCAGTAACACCAAAATATATGTTGCGATATGTTGCGTTAATTGTGATTATTTGTGATTATAAAGATTGAGATTTCCATAAAATGTCATTAATTTGTCACGGAACGCCAAGGATTTAAATGAGGAGAAATTACTAGTCTGAATCCATATAAAAAGCTTGTTATCTCCCTTTAATCATTCCACTATGTCATCGCCACAGTTAATGGCTCTGAAAACCTCCTACCTACAGTTTCTTAAATGGGTATTTAGAAACCCCAGTACTTGAAGTAGTTGACTACCAATTAAACTTACCATCATAATCCATCAGCTTAAAGAAGGCATCGTAGTCATGTTTCTCCAGTCTGTTATCGTTATCTATATCGTAGATGTCATAGAGTTCATGAGATAATCTATAAAGCTCAGGGGTTGTTTTGTTAATGTATGACGTATATTCTAGTCGACTGATTACTCCATCCACTGTAAATACAATAAGTTACAATTTCATATTTTTTAGTTATATTTTTAAAATGTATTAAAATAATGCCTTAAAATCAATGCTATGTATAAACAGTCCTACCTTGTTAAAGAATAATCCTATTAATCCTATAATTCACTATTGCCAGTTGAGAAATTGGCAAAAATATTATTTTCAATTTCAAATTCAAACGTTTGAAGATAGCTATCCCATGGTGGGGGAAAATGAAAACAAGGGAGGTAATTGGGGGTACTTGTGTTATTATTTCCAGGGTGAATGATTTTTAAGTGTGAGAATGATACCTATGATCGTATAATAGTGAGTTGACAACCTACTGAGCAAAAGACATAAAAATAATTATGTTTTGACGTTCTTAGAAAATATGAAATTGTAACTTTAATTTATATAAAATCAGAGATAGTGAGCGGTCTGAGAGGGGACGTCATGGCCTCCTCGGCTTAGAGGCTAGGGTGTATCAGCAAAACAGATCGGCTGTGTGGGAATTACAGTTATGTCATGTGGTTCAACCAGTAGACAGGTTGTGCAACGATATGATTACGATTTCGATTACGATTAAGAATACGTATTAATAATCGTAATCGTAATCGTGACGACGAAATTCTTTTGCGGAAAATTACGATAAGGAATACGGCGCAGTCATGATTCTGCAAAACAGAGTCTAACAGGCATTTCTCGGCCAATGCAAGGATCGAACACGCGATCTCTAGGCTAGGAGCCAGCGTCTTACCCATTTACCCACCGTAGATCCACATGAGTATGTTCACCCACATAAAACGTCTTATACTTACATGGTTCAGTGTCATAGACGTAGAAAGTAAAATCGAGTTCAGATCTTTCAAACTTATTATCACCATTAAAGTCGTTACCATGGAACATGGCAAGGGCGGTTTCGTTATATGGTTGAAGGATGTTGCTATAAATAGATAAAGAGATAAGGAAATGATATAAAATGGCACATGGTTGAACGTCCTAAAGAATTGGCTAATGAATTAAAGACGGACATATGTCCCTTCAGTGTGGTATTGGAGACATTGTGCCGGGAATTCCAACTGCCACGGTATATTTTACGTGCACGCCAATATTCAATGTATGCACGGGACCTCGGTATTTCGTCCCATCCGAACGACCCTAAGTTGTCCCTTGCCAGACCCTCTATCCTGCACCACTGACAAGGATCAACTACGGCCAACACGGTGATCAAACACAGGACTTCAACGCTAGCAAGTCAACATGCTACTCACTGAGTCAACGCGGCTCAAAACATATAAGGTCAGGAACAGTAGGAAGATACGATGGATGCTATATATCGTCGCCCTTATTATAATGTGTTAGTTAGAATACCACGCCTTGACCCGAACCCTAACCCTAGCTTAGAGCTGTACATAAATCTGTGGGTACAAATCTGTTAGAATACCACGCCTTGACCTGAACCCTAACCCTAGCTTAGAGCTGTACATAAATCTGTGGGTACAAATCTGTTAGAATACCACGCCTTGACCCGAACCCTAACCCTAGCTTAGCGCTGTCCATAAATCCGTGGGTACAAATCTGTTAGAATACCACGCCTTGACCCGAACCCTAACCCTAGCTTAGAGCTGTACATAAATCTGTGGGTACAAATCTCCGTCCTAACTTTAAAGGAACCGATATAGCATTTACGACCATGTACCCATTATCGATGGGATGGTTTTATTAATGATATTTGTAGGCGATGGGGTGGTTTAATTAAAGATATTTGTTGGTGATGAGGTAATTTACTTTATGATATTTGTTGGTAACCGGATGGCTTAATTAAAGATATTTGTTGGTGATGAGGTGATTTACTTTATGATATTTGTTGGTAACCGGATGGGTTAATTAAAGATATTAAAATGTTGCTGATGAGGTGATTTATTTTATGGTATTTGTGTTACGGGGTGGTATAAAGAATGGGATTGGTGGTATAATGATTGGTATTGGTGATATAATGACTGGTATTGGTGGCATAATGAATGATATCGGTGGCATAATGAATTGTATCGGTGGTATAATGAATGGTATTGGTGGTATAATGAATGGTATCGGTCGCATAATGAATGGTATTGGTGGCATAATGAATGATATCGGTGGCATAATGAATGGTATCGGTGGTATAATGAATGGTATCGGTGGCATAATGAATGGTATTGGTGGTATCATTAATTGTATAGTGATTGGCGCTGGGTGGGGGCGGAGCGGGTTAATTAAAGGCAAATGTTGGTGATGTGGGGGCGTTAAATTAAATGTATTTGTAGGCGATGAATATCTCCATAACTTACGCAAAACAACCGGAGAATAACACAGCAACAATAACTAACAGCAACATGATCACTTTTCTACAACAAATTAAAAGTACATTAAGGAATTTAATATTTTGTGAATTAATTGTTTTCATCTATTCAATTACCTTGATTTTTTACCAACGATAGAGCACAGAACAGGGCCATTTCCAGAAAACTCTTATTTGTATGTTGGTATCATTTCGTTGTTTTTGGCGCGGGAGGGAGGGGGTGTTTAAAAAACCCCAACATAATCGTGATTCTTGGACTCTATTTTTATACAATATACAATGGAAGAGGGTTGGCTTATAATTGCTTTGGGGTTGGATGGACGAATAGTTAGCTCGAGCGCGCTGTATCATAAGGTCTGTCATTGAGTCAACTGGTGTGGTTTCGATTCCTCGGTTGTATGTGACAAAGGTAGGGTCGCCTGTCCAACCTCATGGGTTTTCTCCGGGTTCTCCGGTTTCCTCCCACTGCTAAAGACCCCTACGCGCAAGCGAATCATTGAAATAAAATTTGAACCATATGTTAGTCCCGAAATGACCTAGTTTGTGTCGAGTGAACGTTACCCCCTATCTCTCTCTCTCTCTCTCTCTCTCTCAACGCTCCTAGCCTTTGACATATTAAACTGTTAAAACAACCCAAACTCAATATATAAAAATACAATAAAAGTTGTAGGAAATTACTAGACCAAAATCAGATGGCAGTATATCCATATTTATGTCGATTCTACCTCTAAAAGTCCAACATATTATATCTCGATTATGGACTCTGGCATGTATAACAAAATGATGTCAAATTAAGAAAGACCCAATTTTAACATTTGCACATTACTGCTTCATCGAATTCTATAGTTTCTTTGCTGCGTGTTGATGTAAATGTGCCCCAGTCTTTCGCAAGTCTCCATGAGCACCATTGTCACCCATAAAAATACACTAAATTCACCACATAACGAAACAGTTCTTACCTTACTAACGAGACGGAGACGGTCTGGAGATTATCTCAAGAAAAGGAAGGGATAAGGAAAATCTTATCTTTAAATTGTCGTTTGCTATCAGAGTTTGATGACGTTTAATTGTACGTGTATAGTTCTACGATTAGATAAGGTCTTCATTAATATATATAAGGTTTCGTAAATTTCGTGCTGTCTCAGGTGATTGCCATTTCATCGGTCAAAGCCCAGTCTATCAGTAGTGATGGTTCCGGTTGGCGTGTCCATTTTTGTTCATTTATCAATGATTTACAGTATTCAAGAACACTTTATACCACCCCTGGAGCGCTCAAGGCTAACTTTTTTAAAGGGTGGGGGAGCGAGTGGTTTAACGTGTGCGCATGAGATCACAAGGTCTGTCATTGAGTCAAAGTGATATGGTATCGACTCCCCCCCACCGCGGGTTTTCGCCGGGTCCAAGGGTTTCCTCCCACTGCTAAAGACTCCTACGCGTAAGCGAATTATTACAATAAAAATGTATAATACTATATATATATATACTGTAGAGGTTATTTAAGTTCTTTAATTAATGCTCTGTTTAATGTATTAAAGTCGTTAGTGACAACGAGAACCGAGCTAATTATATAATGAGAAATACCTTGTATATTATACTCGGTTAATGACACCATATTCTGGTAAATCCAAATATGGTAATCCCAATCTTTAAAGACGTAAACACTCGTCCTCCTTGATGCCCATATTAGTACATTGTATTTAAATCCGGGGTAGCTTCTGATCAGCTGACCAATCAGACAAAGGAAATGTCTGACCAAATACCTGGGGGTCAATCCATGACTCATTCACGTATCCTCTTTATAAGAACGAGTGAGATTTAGGTTTCTTTAGACATCAGAAGGACGTTCCCACACCCCCCTCAGCTGAGAGCCTGTGGAACAGACATCATAGAGTGGTCCTAGATAGACGTTTAGCCGCCCGGCTCATGGTCCGAGATACCGACACTATGCGGGTTCTTACAAGAAATAGCGACACCATGCAGTGTTCATAGAGGGACATAGCTTTGGGCGTCTTGGCTAAGGGCCCGAGGGAGATCAAAATTAGTTTCATAATTGATCGTAGCATCACAATTAAACAATTGATCGTAGCATCACAATTAAACAATATCTTAGTTTCGAGTAGGCCATAGCACTATAAATGGCGTATGCCGGTCCTCATTAGCCAAGTCGAAGCACAACAGCAGGGCGTTAAATCTCATGACGAATTACTTGTTATTATGATCTCGGTTGAAATAACAGGAAAAACAGGTGTTTTATAATAATCAATATTTTATTATGTGATCTGCATTGAGAAATATTAAATTGGCAGTGAAAGTAACATGAAATAGAATTTAAAAAATTGCAAGATTAGAAGCCCCATCTGATAAAAAAGATTAGATTATACATTATCTTAGATTAGAAATTACACGAATAGAAGTTATAAGTTAGACGACAGCACGACATAATTTTGAATCTAATATATCGCCATAATATAGAAGGATAACCCGTGTTTTCCCTTTGCTTTCGTCATCTTCAATGATCTCTGTATTAAAATTATATTTGGAATGTGTTTAACCACTTCTATCACATATATTGTCCTTTAAGAGCCCGAGTTACTGATACACATTTTACATGCCCTTCCATATTTCCTTTATGTGCTAGATATAGGCATTGAACCAAGGATATGCGACATTGAGTTTGCGAGTACAGGTACTCATGTGCCAATACCTTACCATCACAAAAATGTTAGTTTTGGCATACAACTTTGCTAAAGAAACAAGTACCAGCGTATGATGGGCTAGGGACGTCATCGCATCCTTCTGTCCAAGGAACAGCATACCACGTTTCATGTCTATCAACATGAATTGGCAGAGCTTTGGGCTAAGTAGTGGCTAAGGCCCACGGTCCATGTGCTGAAAATATTTTAAGTGCAAGAAATTCCTTAAAATTAAGAATAAAAACACCCCTAAGTAAAATCCTTATTCCAAGTCGTATGCTGATAACAACTTTGGACAATCGTTATTCCAGCTAAAGGGAAGGAAAATCACCAAATTCTTCCTTAAATCTGAGGTACCTCTAGAGTTATCCCAAGTAATACAATTGTTCAGTATTTTTATAAAAGTATTGGCGTGTACATGTTTATCATGGTTGGGGTTATCGCCTTGAATCAGTTGTATCAGAGAGCTTTACACAGAGAAAGAGTTTACAAGGACAGGGATAATCCCTTTGGGGCATTGACTGATGAAAAAATATATAAACGGTATCATTTTGACAGGAATTCTGTTCATCACTGATTTGACTGAAATGACATCATTCGAAGTACTGGGAGAAACCAAGCCGCCCCGCCATTGCTGCAAGTATTTTCAATAATTCGCTTGCGCGTAGGGTTCTTTAGCACTGGGAGGAAACCGGAGGACCCGTAGAAAACCCATGAGGTTGGACAGGCGCCCCTACTCCTTGTCACGTACAACCTGGGAATCGAAAGCACGCAAGTTGGGCTCTCTCACAGACCTTATGATACAACGTGCACGCGCCATACACCCCCCACTACCACCACTTTGCACTGAGAGAACACATCAAGGTATAATCATCGTTGACAGTGTCTACCAATGTAATTCATAGCTTCTAGTACCATGTATTCACCATAGAATTGATACACAAAGGCGGTATAACTCTACATTAACACGTATAAATTGGTAAGGGCAGATTGTAAGGCGAATTAGGATTCGTTTTAATCAAGCATCTTGTTTAAAGATCCATTATGGGAGATAAGATAAAGAGCTGGAAGTTCTCACTATAATAGTTAAAAACTAGATAACGTAGATGGAATGTACTGTAATGTAAAGTCAAATTGATCCATACTGAACCGAATATTTAGCGATTGAATTTTAGGCCTATCCTCGATCATCATTACTAAAGTCGGTACGGTAAAAACATAGTCTCGTTTATCTATTTTTTTTATTTAATCAGAAGCAGCAGACCGGGTTCTAATCCAGTACATATCGCAGGCTAGCGATGCCATCGAGAGTTGATTATGGTCTGGATAAATTAATTAATGTCTAATTAATAATTTACATAACATTTCAGGCCTAAAAAAGACTTGCAATTGGCAGATTTAGCTCTTGCATAATGCATCTTTGAGTTCGTTGAAATATTGACGTTTATGATACTTATGTGTCGCAGGGTTAATATGTATATTAATGTTGCGCTAGCGTATTTTATTTTATCATCAATAGCTTTATAGTTGCTGATGAGTTTAAGTCATTTACGATCATATATTTATGTGATTAACCTAAATAAAGAATCCTACATGTTTTGGCGTGTTTTTAACTAACGACCCCGTGACATATGTATGAAGGAACATCGAATCGATATTATAACAAAATTATTTTATTATCTAAAATTACAGATTATTTAGTTCCACCAACATCAATCAAGTGACCAAGAGATTCCAAAAGCTGAAAAACAAAATAGGTGAGAAAATAAATCGTTTGGTGTATTTAGGTTTATAGATGATGGATGGATGGGAGTAAATGCTTCTTCGTGATCCGTTAGATTATTACTGAATTCTGATAAATGAGAACAAATCTCCCGTCAAAAGGCAACACCTAGTAACTCACGTTTTTTCTTATTTTGAGAAAACAAAGGAAAACGTAATGAATGAATATTAAAACCCAGCTTGTCCATTGATTTGACTAAAGAGTTGCTAGGGTTTTCTGTGGCATACTAGGCAAATGAAGGAAGTTGCTAGGTTGTGTCATAGGTGTAACTGCTTACAAAATCAAAACATTGGAATATCTTGTACAACAACAAGAAGCACATACCCTAGTAACTACAAAGTGAGGTACTAGGTTTTGACTTTTGACGGGAGAAATATCATGTTGGTCTGATTCCAGCTGTCAAGATAGATTCCAAGGGAATATCTCCCTCCGTTTTGAGCTAAAGACATGTTCTGTTTTCTTAAAAAATTATTGGTAATTCCAGATTGTGTCTTTTTAATGGAGAGGGAGAAAGAAATGGACACTGGACACAAACTAGGTCATTTCGGGACTAACACATGGTTCAATTTTATTTCAATAATTCGCTTGCACGTTGGAGTCTTCAGTAGTGGGAGGAACCCGGAGGACCCGGGAAAACCCACGAGGTTGGACATGCGACTCTACTCCTTGTCTTGGCAATGGAGAATTATTAGTCAGATACTACTGGGTCGTATAAAAGATAGATTTTTAAGTTTAAGCGACAGTCCAATACAAATATAAATCCTAACGGGTTATTAAAGACAAAGCGAAGACAACAAGTCCATTAAACTTTCATCAATCAAAAGTCAAAACTAGTAAGTGATGGCTAGGAGCAGAACAGTAGGACGTTAAACCCCATTTCATTTCATTGCATTTCAATAAGTGATGGCATCTCAAATGGGAAACTAAATAATAATACTAATACCCAATAGTGAGTCATGTGTCCCTGGTACTGGGCTGGGGGCTGACAAGAAATAGCTTATTGCCTTTCGGATGGGACGAACAAACCGAGTTTCCGTATATTGTAGTCACAGACATATTATTAATTGCCAGGGGACCAATGAAAATGGTTGACTTGTCTCGGTAATTAAGATGTTAACAATTTCTTCCCTGTCAACAAGTCATCACACAGTGTACAAGCTCTGGCATATCGGGTCAATTGGCGCTTGTTGTTTATTGTCCAGACCAGGTTATTCATATAAATAAAACATTTACTTACTATACCCCAATAGTGTACAAATTCTTGTTCTGTTACCCACGTATCACCTGTAATACATATCAATAGAACAGATTTTAAATTTAATATTCAAAACTATTTAATTCATACCTGTGCGGAACATTTAAGATTTTCATTATTCCTGGGTTATATGCCTGTTGTACGGGATTATCAAATTACTAGGTGATCGAGACTAAACACCACGCGGAGAGAGACAAATAGAGTGTGTGTGGGGGGGGTAGTTTCGTGATTAGCAGACGGTTCAATTTTATTTCAATAATTCTTAGGGGATCTGACGCTATGGGAAGAAACTGAGCGAGATTGTATTAGCAACCCTAGTCCCTGTCACGAACAAGCGGAAATCGAAATCATGCCACGTGACTCAATGACAGACGTAAAACCATGCGACCACCCAACTCCCCACAGTTCCATAAACAAATGTGGATATCTTAAATGAGAAAAAACTAAATATTTCACATAGCGACATTTTCTTGTATCGTGGTTCTATTAGGCGATACTCATATTCTCCTTGTCCAACACTCAGATTAGTGCATGAGCTATGGTGGGGTTCGGATTATGGCGATAATAATATTGTTTAAATTTATATTCTGGTTTGAAGGTTAACTGCAAAAAAGAAACGAGAGAGAGAGAGAGAGAGAGAGAGAGAGAGAGAGAGAGCGATGGGGTTTAAGTCTTTTCGGGACTAGCTCATGGTTCAATTTTATTTCAATAATTCGTTTGCGCGAAGTGGTCTTAAGCAGTGGGAGGAAACCGGAGGACCCAGAGAAAACCCACGAGGTTGGACAGGCGACCCTACTTCTGGTCACGTACAACCGGGGTATCGAAACCCCGCCAGTTCGATCACTCAATGACAGACCGTATGATACAGCGCGTGCGTGCTAATTTGGCCATCCACCCCCCCCCCCCCCAAAAAAAAGAAACGAAAATGAGAAATTATTTTTGAGATTGAGCTAAATGTGAAATTTGCTACTTACCATCATAATCCATCAGCTTAAAGAAGGCATCGTAGTCATGTTTTTCCAGGAAATTATCATTATCAATATCATAGAGGTCATAGAGTTCATGAGATAAGTTGTAAAGCGTGGGAGATGTTTTGTTTATGTATGACGTATATTCAAGTCGACTGATTATTCCATCCACTGTACAACCAATAGAAAATAAAATTATAAGTCATTAAAAGTCTTCAACGTTGAAAACATGAATTATTTGTCAATTTAAATCAACAGTGATGTTGTGATCTTACTGGGAAAAGATGGACTTCTGATATCCAATACATAAGACAAAATAAACATTTTACCATTGGGGAAGTCAAGCTTGAATCATATTAGGAACATATTTTGGGTCAATCAGCACCATTCGTATCCCAAACCTAAACAAATGCTTGGAAGAAATGTCTAAGGCATATGACGGGTGTACAAACAGTAATTCGGTTGTGCAAACAAGCGAGGGGGAAGTGATTCGTATACGGTGGACAATACTTACATGGTTCTGTGTCGTAAACGTTGAAACTAAAATCGAGTTCTGCTCTTTCAAATTTACCATCCCCATTGAAATCATTAGCGTGGAACATCTGCCGGGCTGTGGCATTATAGGGCTCTAGCTCGTTACTATAGATGCATAACAAGAAATATTAAATACAACGCAGATGTGGGACCTATACCGTTGGAATTTGAAAAGACATTGATGAAGAATGGTTTGACATACAAAAAAAATAACACACTAGTAGTTATCAAAAATGGTTCTGGTAAAATTATTATTTCCGACCATATTCATCTAAAAAGTTCGGCCAGACATTAAGAAACTTCTAATACTATTATGCCCCATACACTAGTCTAGCCTACCCAAGAAATGACAGGGGAATCGACTTCTTACTTTTCTGGATCAACCGAGATAATGCTTGTCTACACAACGGCCACACGGCCAAGTCTTTTTTAGTTTTCTAACATTAATATGCTGCGAAGGGTAAAAACTGGATTTCGGGTTTCATACCCATCCGAACGACAAGAGCCCGTCATGTCTGTCAGCTTATGGGGAAAACCCTCTTGGTCAACACCGGGATAGAACTACAGGTGGAAGACCTCGTGCCATACTCACTCATCGGGTCGCCGTACTTTCCAATTTACAGGAAGACGTCTGTGGTGAGCTAACAGGGGCGTCGATGTGGTATTTAAAGACCACGGGCAGCATGTATTCCATAATTATAGATAACTTTTCTTATCGTGGTTCCGGGGATGTCTATTCCGAAGTGTCTGACTTCCTTTTTGATAGCTACCTTGATGGTTGACTGTCCGTGTCGTTGTGAGTTAGAAAGAAAAAGTCCAGTTTTTGTACATTCTCTAAAACTTCTGTTCTTTCGAAAATTCAGAAACTGACAAGAACAGAACCATCTTCTTCTAAAGCAATTGTCCATCAAACTAGCCATCTCAGTGGTCAGACACTTAAGCCGAGCCCATAACTTACGCTAAACAACCGGAGAATAACACAGCAACAATAACTAACAGCAACATGATCACTTTTAATTTTATCTACAACAAATAAAAAACACAATACATCATTTCAATAAATAGAGAGAGAGAGAGAGAGAGAGGGTGGGTATTTAACGTCCATTCGACACAAACTAGGTCATTCCGGAGCTAACCTATGGTTCAATTTTATTTCAGTCCCGAAATGACCTAGTCTGTGTCGACGTTACACCCTCTCTCTCTCTCTCTCTCTCTCTCTCTCTCCCTCCAAAACCAGCAAAATATTAATGAGAGATAAACGGCCTGGATTCAATTTGATTTAAAAGCAACGCCAGCGACACCAGACAGGGAAAATTTTAAGTTACATGTACTTCGGAGGGTTGGATGGCCGAATGATTAGCACGTGCGTGCTGTATCATAAGGCCTGTCATTGAGTCAACTGGCGTGGTTTCGAATCCCCGGTTGTACGTGACAAGGAGTAGGGTCGCCTGTCCAGCCTCGTGGGTTTTCTCCGGGTCCTCCGGTTTCCTCCCACTGCTAAAGACCCTTACGCGCAAGCGAATTATTGAAATAAAATCAAATCATATGTTAGTCCCGAAATGACCTAGTTTGTGTCGAGTGGACGTTAAACCCCATTTCTCTCTCTCTCTACATGTACTTCTGGTTAGTGAGCCAGCGACATACTAACTGAGCAATATTGGTAAGATTTATCATACGTCAACAGCATTCAAAATCAAAAGGACATCACAACGTGTCCGTCTTGGCGGATCGGTTGGAAAAATGATTGATTCAGAGAACTTCAGATCGTTTTACAGAATTATTCAGCTTTAAACAACAATACCTTACCTTACTATAAAGAGACGGAGAAAGTCTGGAGATTATCTCAAGGAATGGGGGAGAAAAGGACAATCTTATCTGTTAATTATCGTCTGTGTCACGGTTTGGTTTCACTTTTAGTTCTGCGATAAAGATATGTTATATATGGACAGACCGTTTAATAAAGTGCGAGTTATTTTTTGTGGGGGTATTGTCCTACCTGAAGCTGGCAATTTCCAAGAGTGAATACAAATTATAGCAATTTATTATTAGCTTCCCAAATTTCCCAAACGATATTCCGTACAGTATACATTTAGAACACTGTAATGAATGTATACCCATAGCTAGCTCTTCAATAACGATGCGTTCAGATGTTAGTGCTAAATGTTAAGGCCAGCTCAATTTGTCGTCATAGGTCACGGGATGTAAACAGGGCTAGCGCTAATCCAAACCCTAACCCTTACCTACAACCTAACCCCTACCTCCAACCTCGCCAACAATCACGTGGCCTAACCTTATTTAGGTCTAGGCCACCTTAACGAAAATGAGCCGACCTTAACAAATAGATTTAGCCCGTTCAGAGAGTATTTGTGTACTAAATTATATCAATGGGTGAAACACACGTAGCCTACATTCATTCGAAAATAAACGAACTCGGATGTTATCTGGAAAACGGACGTTGACCCCTCTACCTTCGAAGAAACGAGCGAAATGAATCCACATTGGGAGTTACAGTGGCTCATTAATCAGGAATTGTCGGATTGGATATGTGTGTATATGTGTGTATTCATACGTCATTGAGTTCCGGGACGTTGGGTGGGGGATTGTGAATAAGCCTACTGAATAAAATGACAACTAAATGTTTGTTTCAAATGATCTATAAGCAGGATCTGGTAGAGGTTATCAAAAGCAGTGCTTAGATAAAATAGCACATTTTTATAATCTAGTTTTTTTTATCTCGAACAATAGTCGTTTCTGTATATTTCAATAGTTGGCGATCCTTTTAAAAATCAAAAGAGGGATTAGAAGCAGTTATTTAAATATTTTTTGGTGTGCTATCTTGTTACGCATAAGCTTGGTTATTGTACATTGTAGTTCTCTACCGAAAATCCAGAACAAATTCGTACGGACTTGCTGCCCATTTCAAGTAGAACAGAATTACAATAGTTATTGAATCTACCGATGCTTCTTGAGCACAAGTGGAAATGTGCCATATTATAAAACGTACAATGTCATCCTGGCATGGGTTAAGAACACGTCGAACGTTTCGATGTGAAAGAATGAACAATTTGCACTTAGTTCTTTACGGGGACGACTTATTAGATTGCGTTTAAACTATCATCCGATTTGTTATTAATAATTGACGAGTTTCACATTAGCTTATTTATTCTAGAACACTTCGTGTATTTAGCGAGACAAGTCCAATAAGGTTTTCGTCCACCCGACACAAACTAGGTAATATGAAACAATATGACCCGCGTAGGGTCTTGTATAGCAGTGGCAGGAAACCGGAGGGCCCCGGGAAAATTCACAAGGTTGGAGCGGCGGCCTAGCTCTTTGTCCTGTACATGTAAGGAAGCGTATTTGGCATTAGGGGGTACTCCTCATCTCGATGGATCTGACAAGCGACCACAATCATAGAAACTCCACCCAACTGCCTGATACACAATATATACGAAAATTTGTGACTGTAGTTTCCCTGTCTGTTCAGGATTGGCGGCTACACTAGCGCTCCCCACAGACTGACATTTGGTGCTTATGGGTAGCTCGGACCGGCGAATAACATGGCGTTGGCCTACCACTTCCGGTTTTGGAGTCATACTACTTTCAATCCGTGCAGCGTCAGGTCATCCGCTAGAGTCTTATAATAAATAAACATATTTCATATTGGCAAACCACAATGTAACATTACAAAAAATAATATAAGATACATGAGAACAGTGTCATTTCTAAGATATTTTTTTTGTATAAAGATATATATTGTTTGTATATGTGGATTAGATAGGCGGTAAGGTCTAACGTAACACAACAAAACATTAATACGCGCATGAATATATATATTTCTCCGCTTTCTTTCATGTAACGGGGTATTGGATGGCCGAATGGTTAGCACGTGCGCGTTGTATCATAAGGTCTGTCATTGAGTGAACTGGCGTGGTTTAGATTCCCCGGTTGTACGTGACAAGGAGTAGGGTCGTCTGTCAAACCTCGTGGGTTTTCTCCGGGTCCTCTAGTTTTCTCCCACTGCTAAAGACCCCTACGCATAAACGAATTATTGAAATAAAAAATTGAACCATGTGTTAGTTCGAAATGACCTAGTTTGTGTCGAGTGGACGTTAAACTCTCTCTCTCTCTCTCTCTCTCTCTCTCTTTTTTTTATGTAACAATTTGAATAGTTCTGTCACTTTAAGGCTTTATTTCAATTTTAATGATAAGCACTCCATTCATACAACAGATGTCGTATGTTCCCACACAAAGCTTTGACATTCTACGAAATTAGAAAACATTTTTATCTTTGCTAATAGACAATGGCGTTGAAGTTTTTCATTTCTCTGGTCTTGTTTGGTGCTGCTTCGGTCACATGGTGAGATTTTGAATATATATAACTAGTACTGTTACATTTCTAAATAAAATTAGCCAACATTTGAATTACCTTGTAAAAGTACAAGAATAAACCCCATTAAACTTGGCATTCGTTTGGTGGCGCAGTGGCTCGATCCCGGTGTTGGAAGCGAAAGTTCATTGGGATTTTCCGGCGTGGCTCCCCCTTGTCAATGGTGTAGGACGGAGGGACTGACAAATTGACAACGTGAAGTCGTGGCGTGCACATCAAAGATCCCTTGATAGTTGGAATTCGAAATAAGAGTAGGCCGTACCCTGTCTCATAAAACACTGCATGGCGTATGACCTTCTAGATTAGCTCAGTCAAAACAGTAGGACGTTAAACCTCATTTCATTTCATTTTGTTTTGCATTCGTTTGGTTCTTTCGGTTTTACCTAAAAACCAAGACCCTCCTGTGTAGAAATTAGCGTGCACTTTAAAGAAGCCTTGATTGTTGGAATTCGTTTAATGGTAGGCGGAAACTCACAATGTACACGTGACCATTGACGATTTGTTCAAGCAAGTTCCATTCATTCGTTTGGCACATTCATTTCATGTCAGTTAAAACAAATTATCACCATTCTCGCGTAGATGGGACTCTATATCTAGGTAATGGGTCTAGTCTACTGTTGACAGTATGTTAAAGATGCCTGGAAAGTCGAGAGTAGGCCACAGCAAAATTACCTCAATAGCACACCGCATGGCGTATGCATACCGACTTCCAGTTTTGTCTAAGCTTTTTTCACAAGTATACGGGAGCCACGGTGGCTAGGTGGTTAAGACGCTGCCTCGCTAGTCTGGAGGTCGGGTGTTCGATCCCTGCATTGGACGAGAAAGTTCATCTGGATTTTCCGACGTGGTTTCCCCTTGTCAGTGGTGCAGGAAGGAGGGCCTGACAAGGACAGCTGTCAAGTCATTCGGATGGGACAAAAGCCGAGTTCCTGTGTGCACGTAAAAGATCCCTTGCCAGTTAGAATTGAAATAAGAGTAGGCGGCAGTGCCGCTGCCCGGGCAAAATTTCCCTCATAGCACATTGTATGGCGTATGCCCGTCTTCATTAGCCCAGTGTATACTGGGGCAGAACAGTAGGACGTTAAACCCCTTTTCATTTCATTTCACAAGTATACACCCCCACACACCCACACGGTTAGTGCTAAATAATAAGGCCAGTTTAATTTTTCGTCATAGGTCACGAGATGTAAACAGGCCTAGCGTTAATCCCAACACTAACCCTAACCGAGCCCTAATGCTTACCCTAACCCTGTTTACATCTCAGCGACCATGACAAAAATTGGGCTGGCCTTAACAAATAGATTTAGCCCACCCACATACACTGCTAAGTGTGGAGGCCCTGATTTGACCCATGCTCGATTTGATGTTGTTCTATTTCAGTGCTGAAGTTCATGAACATGGATCAACAGCTGATCTATATGATAGAGCTATAACTGAAGTTTGGAGGAGTTCCGACAGAAATGAAGATGGTGTCTTTTCTACAGGAGAGATGCTTTTGGGTTTCGCTAATTTTGACGAAAATAGTATTTAATTTCTATACGTTGCTTTCTTTTGGGAATATATTGTCGTCACCGTTTTATCCCCACAACTCACTCATAACATTTATTCAACACTATGTATGAATTACATATATACATGCAAATTTGAACCGCAAAAACGTCTGATTACTAGCTTATATGTGACAGTTATTAAATCTAAAAAAATATTAAGAATGGAGCTTTTTCATCAATCTGGTTAAAATACAGATCTATATTTCGTTTCGTCTGTTTTATACTTTCGATGGCCTACACTACATAAAGATCTGACCGGTTGTAGTAAAAGGTCAAGTCAGAGGTCGTACGAACGGCTTTTAACCCTATGACATCAGACATTGATTAATCAATCAGTGTTGACGTTTCTAGTGGTTTACCCACAATTCCATGCATCACACGCTAAGAACTCGCCGTAACATACCGTTTCATTACAACTAATATAACAACTCTTTCAAATCCTAGTGTAGTAAAGACAAGTCAAACGAAATTTTGAACTGTAAAAATGGAATAAAATAGGATCTGTGTTTTAATAAGACCGCCTTTTAATTCGCCAAGAGGCAAAATTTGTGCTATGGTTTTAGTGCTGTCCATTAACCATCGGGGATCACGTGGCTAAGTGGGTAAGACGCTAGCTCGCTAGCCTGGAGGTCGGGTGTTCGATCCTTGCATTGGCCGAGAAAGTTCATCCAGATTTTCCAGCGTGGTTTCCCCTTGTCAGTGATGCAGGACGGAGGGCCTGACAATGACAGCTGTCTAGTCGTTCGGATAGAACGAAAAACCGAGGTCCCGTGTACACATTGGCGTGCACGTAAAAGATCCCTTGGCAGTTGGAATTCGATATAAGAGCAGGCCGTAGTGCCGCTGCCCGGGCAAAATTTCCCTCATAGCACACTGTATGGCGTATGCCCGTCTTCATTAGCCCAGTTAGGAGCAGAACAGTAGGACGTTAAACCCCATTTCATTTCATTTCAATTAACCATCGGATTTCTTTGAATATTTTAGTACAAGTTTTCATTGATAGAGCCCCAGTAACATTGAAATCGTTATTTATAGCAGCTCTAAAATGAAATTTGCTTAAAGATGCATTATGTAAGATTTAGTTCTCGCTATAATACTATAAAAAAAAAGATACTGAAAATGGAATATGTTGAATTTATTTTTCAAATTGCTTAATTCTGAACGTAGTTATCGTCGATGGAAGAACAGTGAAGTCTCGATTACATTTGCTACCGTTGTTACAATAGTAAACAGAGACTCGATTATCCAATTTTTTAATTCATTAACTGCTAATCGTATTTAAATCCAAACCATCCGAATTTCTAGATAGTTGATTATGGGCCTGGGCCCTGTTTCTCGAAATCTTAACTAAAGATAAAATCCAAATTTTAGTAGATACTTCAATTTTGATTGGCTATGCACTAAAATCAACCTGATATTATCCAATCAAATTACTGAAATTTGGATTTTATCTTAGTTATAATTTCGTGAAACAGGCCCCTGGCATGTTAATAAATGATGTCCAATTAATGCTTTATATAACATGTGAGGCCTAACGAAAAATCCTCATTATAGGCAGATTTAGCTCTTAAATAATGCATATTTAATGCAAAAGCCTGTAAGCCAGTGATTCTTAACCAGTGTGCCCCGGTACACAGGTGTGCTCCGAGATCTTCCTAAGTGTGCCGGGAAAGTTTGAACGTCACACTAAGAAAATTTCTCACTAAAGAAGCCAGCTATTTGAATTATGAAATTCGGAACTCTGCAATAAAATAAGTCAATAACGCATACTTTATATAGTTTGAGTCATTCTATGTGTCTATGACTAGTCCGTGTCTACGGTTGTATGCCGTCTATGACTTGCCATGTTTTTATTTTGCAAAATTCAAATATTTTTCAAGGTGTGCCGTTGGCAAAAAAGGTTGAGAACCTATGTTAGAAGCTTTTCGACTAGGGTCAAACTAAAGTGACCGTTTATGTTTTAGGTGACGGTCGAGTTTCCCGTAAAGAATACGTAGACTTTGTCGTTCATCCCAATCCGGAATTAAAGGAATTCAGCCACTATCTGTTTAACAGCTATGACGTCAATTCAGACCACCATATTGATGGCAATGATTTCGCTGGACTCCAGAGGGCCATGGATTTAGACCGTTCGTATTATTTATAAATTTAATAACATTTCTTAATTGGACAGAAAGCTATGTTCAATAGTTTTAAATGCTTATTCATTGCATGTAAAACCGTGGATGATTTCAAATCAAAGGATGTCGTCAAGGAGTCAAGGATTTGTTTTGGTCCAACCCTTTTTAGTCAGTAAACGAAATCGATCGGTTCAACTTTCAAAACATATTTCCCTCTATTCCCCATATACTGTTCTTTTAAACACGTGGATGGCAAGATTAATCGTTCAAAATTCAAAATTCAATATCGGAAATTAAATCAAGGATATCATCAATTTGTTTAAGGTGCTTGCTGACTAACATGGAGCTTTGCCTAGCTTGGAACGAAACCCAGAGCGAGAGAGAGGGTTTAATGTCCACACGACACAAACTAAGTCATTTCGGGACTAACATATGGTTCAATTTTCTTTCAATAATGCGCATGCGCTTAGGGGTTTTTAGCTGTGGGGTGAAACCTGAGGACCCAGAAAAACCCCCATGAGAATGGACAGACAACCGGGGAATGGAAACCACGCCAGTTGACTAAACCACTAATAACAAGAAACCCTGCTAGAAAATCCCGTCATACCCATCGTGACATAAAAACAAGATAGACAGAGTACCCAGTCTTTAAGAAGGGTTATTGTCGCTAGTTCCATGATACTTAAAGTTATTTGGTAATTGATAACGAAGAGGTCTGTAATAAAATTATCATCAATGACACACACATGACACACACACATGTGGTGTGAATATCATTTATTATATAATCTATTTTGTAGATGACGGTGTTGTATCAAAAACAGACTTTTATCACTACTGGTATCAGGTATTCACTTTATTCATTGCTGTTTTTTTATTTTCTTTACCATTAACATCTTTTGGTAATCTCTGTACGGGGGTTAAGTGGATAAGACGCTGGTTCGCTAGCCTGGAGGTCGGGTGTTCGATCCCTGCATTGGCCGAGAAAGATCATCGGGATTTTCCGACGTGGTGCAGGAAGGAGGGCCTGGCAAAGACAGCTGTCTAGTCGTTCGGATAGGTCGAAAAACCCCGGTCCCGTGTATACATTGGCATGCACGTAAAAGATCCCTTGGCAGTTGGAATTCGATATACGTGTAGGCCATAGTGCCGTTGCCCGGGCAAAATTTTCCTTATAGCACACGGTATGGCGTATGTCCGTCTTCATAAGCGTAGTCGGAGCAGAACAGTAGGACGTTAAACCCCATTTTATTTCATTAAATTTCATTTCGGTCCGTATGTAGATGAATTGTATACGTTTGGAATTGCAAATTCTGTATATTTTGGATCAACAAATTAAGATGTGGCGTCATTCGGGTAATTGTTAGTCATTGTATATAAACAAAAAAAACAACATGTTCTCGTCCGATATTAGCTACTCTCCGTATTCTGTGTATAATTAATTAAACAGTCGGTAGATGGAAAACTATGAAAGCATATTATGCTTATAGTACGCTTTTTTGTATCTTCTCCGTGAACAACAATTGCCCACATTAGCTCACAGTTCAAGTTGATACTATCTACACTTCGTATCGAGCTCGCGTATCAATTAAACGAAACGAATTATTCCTCGGCTTAAGCATGGTTAACACAATTTGTAAAGTAGTTTTTTAAACTCCTTTTCATTTCTCAGTTAATGAATAAAACATATCAAATCTACAACGGCTAGACGTCTCCTTTTAGTCTAACAGAATCTTGCAAAATTTTATAAGAATAGTATATTTTGTGGCAAAAGCGCCAAACTCAGCACGATGATATTATGTTATAGGGTAGATTTCGATTGAGTCCACAACCAATACCATTCATTGTAAAATGCTTAAGGGTGAATCTTTCGTTTTGATTGGTCAATTAGACACTGTCGATCGGACAATAGCACCCCTCTGTTTTAGTAATTTCTTTAAAAATCCTAAAATAACATGTTACAATGTCGATAAACACTTCCTGTTTCGCATTTAGAGGGGTGTTCTTGTCTAATATACATGTCCTGAGATTTTACATTAGAACCCGCGACGCTAACGTGTCTTGGGTCCTAATGATCTCAGGACATGTCTATTGCACAATAACACACTTCTAAATGCAAAATAGGAAGTGTTTATCTCCTAAATATGTAGAGTGTCAAATTTGATGCAAAATTATTTTACCATTTAATAATATTTCTGTATAAAGTATAAACATTTATTATTTGAACAATTTATTTTTGTTTTAATTAGCTGCTTCAAGATACGGCTCATCTACATGGTCATGGTTCCCATTTAACCGGTTAAAGGTCCAAGGAGGTGGTCATGTATCGCTTTAATTCATAATAAAATCCAAAGGAAATCAAGGTTGTTGTTTTATACAATAAAGGAAGCAGACATTAAAATTTTAAATCTCAAATGAAAACATTCATTTTATGTACTAGTCATTCGGATGGGATAAAAAATAAAGCCGAGGGCCCGCTTAAACTAAACTGTTGGTGTTACAAGCTCTCTTTACACAAAGGGACAGGATGTGGTTTCGGTTATATCCTCGGAATTTTCCGGAGTGGTTTTCTCTTGTCAGAGTAGCCCGTTGCGCTGCTGTAGGGGCCAAATGTCCCTCATAGAACAATAGAAGGAAGATTCCCTTATTCCTTAGCCAAGGTGGTACAGACAAGAAGAACATTAACCCACCGTTTCATTTCATTTATAGAGGTTTGGCGATTCTAACCCTGAACGGTCTTTAGTTCACAGTTTTGACTCAGAATTAGGGATCTCTCAAGGGTAGAGAACAGACATCTACGTCAACTCATGATTTATGTGCCGTGGGATGATACCAGAGGATGAGATTAACAACCCATTTGCTATATGATTAACCTGAAGCCGACTCGTTTAGTTATTTTATTATCTGTCACAAAGGGATGATAGTTTATGTCCACAAACACCAGACTTCGTGTTTCCCTTGTTGGGCAAAACACGGATAAGCTCAAATTATATTTATACGAGATTATTTACTTAACCACCGTTGCTCCACGTCGCTGGTCTGTTCAGGAAGCAGACAGCTCTCCATCAGTGTATATCTATGGGACCATCAGTAACACAACCATGATAACAAAACGTGTCGTGGCACACAGGTGTGCCGCGAGATCTTCCTAAGTGTGCCGCGAAATTTTGAACGGCACACAAGAAAATGTGAAAAACCACATGATCCCAATTTAGTGTTCACTGGTGTATATTGGTAAGTTCATAGCTGTGTTTTTCTTTAGTTAGTTCGAGTCATCCTACGTGTTGTATGCCGTCTGACTTACCATGTTTTTATTTTGCAAAATTCAAATATTTTTCATATATATTTAACCAGGTGTGCCGCTACTTTTTCATGTGTTCCAAGGTGTGCCGTTGGCAAAAAAATTGTAGAGAACCACTGGTTGAGTAGTATACTTCGTTAAGCGTTTTTGTTGTCTCTTATTCTTAGATTTTTGTTGGCTAGTTTGCCATGTGCTATTTATTTAGCAACGCTTAGTACAGATGGGGTTATTGGCTTAGTATATAGTACTAGCTTCATTCGACCCTGTCTTGATTGGTGAGCCAACGTCCTACCCACTGAACAACCGTGGCTCCAGTTGTGGGCAAAGGATCACAGTTCTTTTGAGACAACAAAAAGAGACTAAGTATTTGAAGGAAATAAATAGCTACTACTAAATAAGCCAAGAGTGATACATTTTAAATGATACAAAATACAAACTAAGTGTTTAACAATTTATTTTTTCTTTATTTTTTTTCAAGGCAAAATTTTGAATAGAATAAAAAGTTCTCCATTAATGAAAAGCAATAAATGAAATATTTAAAACATTACGCTGATTACATAAAACCCTGGCATATCGATAGAAAAAAAAATTATTTGATTATTATTCTGCGGAACTGAATATTTTCACCAATTTCTTTTACGTGAATACACACGTGCATGCAAGTTTATTGGTAAATTTAGAATTAACATTAATGTAACGCTGCAAATATAAGCAAGTACGGACAATGAGTCCTGCTAACGATCGCTATGAAATTATATTTACATTTGCAGCTTCAAAAATGTAAACACTTGTTTTTGTCACAGGTTCACGCACATTTTCAGTTAATTGAAAACACTTATCCACACACTAAAAGCATTTGACGTGAAGTTATACACTCAATAATGATCAAAGTTTGAAAAAAATAGTATTTTAGTAATTAATTCATTGATCTATCACGAAACATACGCCCATAACAACTAAATTACCTAAGAAGCCTATAATCGCTATAGACTTTTTTATATATAGGTAATGGGAGCATTTTCAAGACAATAAAACTGACCAAGGGCAGCATTCCATGAAGTAATTATCAGACATAATTATACTATGCGAGGCGCCTAGTTTATCATATCGCTAACATAAACGATAATCGGTTGAGAGCTTTCAGCTGTGCGATTTATAGGAAATCGTTGTGTAAATCAATAAGCTTATTCGTCTCATGAACTGGTTATAAATTTCAAGTACACCAGATGATATCTGGAGCGCTCCAAGAGCAGCTAAAAGTAATTGTGGACAGACGGTGATAACGAAAATACACGACCACATTATGCATGTGGGCATATAAAAAAGAAACTTAAATGTGTAATTATATATAAAAAAAAGTCTGAAAAAAAAAGATCTCTGAAAGTGAGACAAGTCTATAATAAAAATTGGTTATCTTTTTTTTTTGTTGTTAACTGTACATAATAACTTTTTAAATATTTATAGGTATACAAAAAACACCAGGGCCTTTTCATTTTTACAGACTACATTGAGAAGTGCACAAAAATATGTAAAATTCACACTATAATGAAATGTCATGAAAAATGATAAAATGAATTTACATTATGGTCTATGCATTAGGTCTTGACATGATATACATATGATTGAATAACGATAATAAAATTTATGTAATATTCTCAAAAACTTTAAAAATGTGTTTTCCTCCCTTGCAAATGAGGTACAAACAGATTTAATATCTAAAAAAATATTTTAAAATGAACCAAGATATTTAATTGTCGGTAGTTCTGGTTCAACCATTATGTTTTGTAACAATTTTACATCTTATCTCTGTATAGATAAACACATGGTCAAATCACACCTATAGTAAAACCATCTGATCCAATTTATAACACATACAAATCACATGCTAACAGGAAAAAATTTCGAATAAGATGACATCGGAGAACAATAGTGATATATGTTCAGAACAATACTATGACCATCTGTAGTAGACACGGATTTAAAATTCTGATTTCCGGTAATCCGACAGTTGATTTGGAGAACAGCACCAGGTCTCTGTCCCGATATAATTCTTTTCAAAACAGATACGAGGTATTACACAATACCACCAAGACTGCTTGAATCTGTGTATGATAGACTTAAAATAATAAATATAAGAGTAATAATTCAGCAATAAACAGATGAACACAATGGAAGCTAAACAACTGTATAAGAGTTTTGTTATAGAAAATAAATTAACACAAATAAATAAAATAATAATGCAGTAATTGCACAATAAAAATACATATCTTAATATAACTTATTAATAAAGACAAATTATTTAAACATAGAAACAATTAAATATTAATAAAATCACAAAACGTCCATATCACAATAATTGGTAATAAATATATTATGCTAGCTACTTAAACACAAAACAATGCCCGTCTGGAATAGTTGTCACCAGTAAGGACTAATTCAATTTCTTTATTATGATTGGCCAACGCCAATAAAACCGAATAATCACGATCGATAAATGATATTAGCCTTAGTGTTGACCTTCTCCAGTCGTGACAGTACATACCTGGGCTAATTGTCCTAAACTTAAGGTGTAGTATAACGGTCGAATGCGAGACATTAAATAATATATTGAAATTGTACGAGTGCGATAGCACGAGGGCAATATCTATATATTACGCAATGTCTTGCACGAGACCATTAAACAACTTAACATACAGACACCATCTAGTATGTGCATTTCAATGAAATACGTCACGCGGGTCCAATACTGCAACTAGTATAAATAATGTACGCTTGGCACATTGCCCGTAACATTATTTGAAAATATGGTACGCCAACATCAAAGGATGACGTCACATCTGTATTTTAATTTCATTTAATTCACGATAGTCATCATTTTGTTGGTGATTATTCAAGGTTGACAAATTCGTGAGTGCTTGCAAACTGTATAGTATGACAGATCAGCCCTTTGATCGATATAATAGATTTTATGTAAATCTAAATTGTCAATAATGTTATTCAGACATTGGGTGCACTCGGAAATAGGAATATCTCCATCAAAATATTGGTAACGTGGTCTTCACAGGTTTTGAATTGGGAACTGCTCCTTGGGAACACAGAATGCACAATCTCTATTCCAATTCCAAATTTAGGTAAACGACCAAGAATGAATTAGGACTTATGTTTGATCACATTCAAGATTATTATAATAAATATTAAAACAAAGATATAATACACCAATGAGACCAGCTCACATAATAAACAGCATTTCAATAATTTACCATACATTTATAAATAAATAAACATACTATAATTTAGAACTATTTAAAAATAAAATTAAAGAAAATTTACTATATAGTGTGTATGCGATATTTAAAAGAACAATCATAGAAATTGAAACCCCAACCCTGACAAATACAATAAACCTGATTTAAACATATTTTGACAATTTTATAAAGGATATAATTTATGCCCAGGGATCAAATTTAAATGTCAGCATGATGAACATGTGTTTAGATAACACGTTTAACCCAATACCAAATCATTTTAATCTTTAGTTCTATGAGATCGCAATAAATAAATATTCAACCCAGTCTTCACAAAAGTATTTTCTGAGGTGTTCCTGAAGAATAATGACTTAATGACTTGTGTTTAAATTTCAATTTTTTGTCATTATCATTTGTTTCTGTGACTAATTTTCAATTCTGATACAAACTATTCTACACCGTTTCCAATAACCCTGTAACGTTAACATTCCAGTATTAAGTTTGTGTGCGGTAATACCATTTAATTTCAGACAATTACTAAGGTTTTATTTCTGAACACTTTAATTGTCTTGGACATCATCGGAAAATGCAGGAATAGCATTATCAGATAGTTTCAACTGGAATTCCATAGCACTTTAACAGGATTAATAAATCTGCGTATTTTGTGGATATTATGATTGAATATTGGTATTGATTAATCTGTACTGACACCTATACGTTGAATTGTTATTAACTGAAATTCAACGTTTTTAAAATGTATTTATGTTAGTATTAAACACATAATCATGCTCAGTGCCTTACACAATCTTTAAATATATAGATACAAGTTAAAAATGGTGAAAAGGGTAATAATGAGGATGAGGATGATGATGACCTTGATGATCTGATCACAAAAAAGAAACTACAAATTCACAGGTTTATCAACTTTTTTACACGCCATCTTGAGCGAAATAATTAATAAAAACAACAGTTTAAATAATTAATGCACTTGAAAAATAATTTCATCTCAAGATTTAAAACTGTTCAACCTTTAAATTGTTTATTTAAAGGTAAAGTTTGTTTGTTGTATTATTAAAGGGTCAAAATCTATTCAAAGTTCTTGACCCTTTCTTTTAAATATTGAACCTCTTCCACCTTATTACTAAATTCCTGCGGTACACTGTAACCCGAACACATAACTGCATCAATAATCGGCATTAGTCAAAAAGTTGAATGAAACAAAGTCTTGCCGTTTAATATATTTCATGTTCAGCTCCAACACATAAAATTCAACAATTGTTCATTTAATCACAGTAATATTTCTCAACGACAACAAAATTGCTACTGTAATAAACACAGCATGTTAAATCACATAACATCAATATATTACAATACAGAACACAGAAATAATTACACTGGGCATTATGTTAAATTCAACTTGAAATATGTGAAACACGGTTGTTGCCATTGTGTACTTCTATGTACATACAACAAGGGCTTGATCTCAAACGTAATTGAAATCTGTCATTTGGTCTCTTGAATGTTACATGCACCTTTCGGCGATAGCTGGTCTATGAACCCTGTACTTTAAAACCTTATAACTATCCATATTACCATGTTAACCGAAGATATTTATGTGATTTTTCCACTTCACATCATCATAAGCATTGTACGAAGGGATTTTTCAAACAGATAGCACAGAGTTGCTTGATGGTATTTCTGTAATATTATATTATATTATAATAATAATACGTACAACTATCAGCAGATTGAATCAAAACCACATTTATATTTTGATAAACTATTAGTTATAAACTATTAACAGATATATTAACAATGTCAATAAAAACATAACTATTAACAAAAGATTCAATGTTACTTATAATGATTATTTAGATGTTTTGTTATCACCATCGGCTAATCCTCATATAGAGAAAAAAATAACAGAATTTGCTGAATGCATCTCAAATTCACTAACACCAATCCTCTTCATCATCATCTGAATCGTGTAATGGAATATTACTATCACTTCGCATTTCATATTTCTCGGCCTTTCTCGATTTTGTTTTTGGTTTAAAGCCATTTGGAAGGGTTGCGGTTGATCTTGGGCCACCCGATCCGCGCACTCTACCACCATCTTGTGGCACATCGTCAAATTGATTAGCTAATATTCTACTCCTATCACTAGTGCGAATGTCTGGAGATCTACTAGCATGAGAACCACGTTCTCTCTCAACTCCTCTTTCACGACTCCAAGATCTGTCTCGTTCTCTATCTCTATCCCGACCTAAACTACTAGAAGTCCTATGAGCACTAGGCATCGACTGGGGATTAGAATGTTTATTTAAATTGTTCCTTTCTGTCGGACTGTATGGCTCTGGCCGACTTAGTCGTCCAGGTGGCGCCACGTGATGTGGATGTGCAGCAATATTTAGTTTAGGCACCCGCGTCGGTGAAGCATTTAATCGTGGAAAGTTTATACTGCCAGGGCTGCGAGATTGTGTTGGTATTGTGGGGGATGGCATCACACGAGGCATATTATTGTCTTTTAATTTTGGTTGAGCAAGATTTAAAGACGATGGTTTAGTGGGTACTGGGGGTAACCTTCTTCCCGAACGCTTTGGCGGAGACTGAAGGGGACTCGGACTCCGCGATCTATCTCTAAGAATGGCAGAGCCATAATACTCTTGCTGTGGTGGTGATCCATTAGGATTAGATGTTGGGCTGGGTGATCTAGTCTCCAATGATGTAGATCTATAAAATGTTGAATCTCTGTCTCTACGATGTGGTGTTGGACTGGGTGATGGAGATCCACTTTGTCCATAATGTCCAGAAATACGATTGCGGGATCTACTTCTGGTAACTAGTTGTGGTGAATTGGGATTACTATCTGTATCATATTTTCCTGTATAAACAGACAAAAGACTTAAATTTCAATAATCTGCGAGTATTATGAATTCAAATTTTTCACACCATTAGAGCGAAAAAACTTTTCACACCAATGGATAAACAAACCTTTCACACTATTGGAGGAACAAACCTTTCACACCATTGGAGGGACAACACTTGGAGAAAAAGAGTTGACCAGTGACACTGAAGTAAAATAAAGTTGAACCTGTACTCCTTGTCGAAAACTTTACTTGTGTCATTTTGAAACTGAGATATGGTATCTTTTAATTGTGTACAGCGCATAAGGGCACCTAACAATGGAAGCTATGCGCTTTAAAGATTTTTCAATAATAATAATAAAAAATATTACCGTATGGTTTCCTTCTTTCATGTTCAGCAATAACATGGGCTTGGTCAACTATATTGGACACAGCAGCAGCAAATCCAACATCAAACCTACGGGGTGATGGGGAACGTCTAGAGGGAAGAGGGGATGTCCTAGGGGACCCAAAGGGACTGTGATGAGGGAGAGGAGATCCCCTTGGAGATATCGGAGTAGTGGGTAAAGAAGGGGGAGCTCCACCTCTATTGGTATCCGAGCCCGTTCTGTTAAGCTTGTTATGGCCTGCGTGCTCAGGTCGTAGACCTCCTGAAAAATCTTGACCGCTCTGAAAGAAAGAAACATTTCGAAATTAAAGTATTTCATGTCCGTATTGCAGACTTTGCTGTAAATTCATGTAATCAAATACTTTTAAATTTCTTGTTATCATTCAACTATTCCCCCGAATTTGTTAATAAATAATATGACAATAGGCCATTATAGATAAACATATTCCCTTCATGATCCTACTATAGATTTAATTATTACAGATATATACTTTTTTTCAAGAAACTCAATCTCTTTTTAAGTTGAAAGCTCAAATCCTAGAAAACATAAATTCAAAACCCAAAATTCAAAACCCCATAATACTAGCCTAAATATAAAATCTACAAAGTTAAAAGATGAATTAATAAATTACTTACGAGAAACACTTAATAACATTTGCCCATATAAGGGTTAATGATGCACAATAAACAATACCATGATGACCACTTCATCATATATTTAACTAACATTTTTTGAACAAATACACATTAACTATTTGGGAACGGTATTTTAAACACCAGACACTTGGTGAATCAAAACCAAACGGTAAGGATGAAATAAACAATATGGTAAATTTTTATTTGGCACTATAAACAGGAATAAGTGAGGATATCAAGGGGGGTAACTCTGGGTATGTCAGTGGATAAAAGGGATGGGTGAATTAGACTCTATTAAGGATACAATCTTAAAACTAGAACAGAAAATATCGAAAGACGTCACACCTGACCAGTACCCCGTATAACTAAACAACATTATATGAACTGAACAGGGTAAAGACTGGTCAACACTCTACTACAAGTCATCGTATGAATTAAAATACATATACTGATACAGACTGGAGATAAAAACCGACAAAAGAACACGATAACTAATGAACAAATGGATCGAGATACTATTCAACAACGGATCACGAAACTATTCAACAATGAATGGATCACGAAACTATTCATCAATGAATGGATCACGAAACTATTTAACAATGAATGGATCACGAAACTATTTAACAATGAATGGATCACGAAACTGTTCAGCAATGAATGGATTACGAAACTATTTAACAATGGATCACGAAACTATTTAACAATAGATCACAACAGCTAATGAACCATTTATCACAACCGTCACCTCATTCAGTCTAGATATAGATTCTGTTATTTGATTGGCTGCTAAAGCTATGAGAGAGGTATCCATACTGGCTAAACTATGAGTGGAAGCCGTTACATCCATCAATTCCAAGTCCTATACATATAAAATAGGCAAAGTTTAGAGGTTAATTCAACTTGATCGGGGTATTGAACACCAGGAATACCTGATACTAACGAAACCTCTTACTGTAGCTTTTTATGAACAACAAATACCGTGGGCGTACAGCAGTATTTTTAGTTTCAAGGAAGGGTGGGGGCACAAGTAATTGTTTGCTATCACCAGAGACTAAATTCGCTTAATATACCAAAAAATGGCTTTAATATATTTTTCAAAGAATGATATATGAATTATTTGTACGGTAGATTGGAATTTCCATGATCGCCTTGTCCAAATTTTGAGAAATACATTGTATTCACATCAGTATGGGGATGTCAACTCTTTAAAGAACATTTTGGCCCTAGCTAGAGTCAATCAAGGTGAATTTATAGCTGGATCATTTGGAGTATTATTCACCAGAGAGAATGAATCGATCCCTTCAAAAAATTAGCCAGACAACTCAAAGAATTTTGGAGACAACTCATGTTTCTCAAGAAAATTTCTCCACAGTATCTATAGATCAGCAAACGTTATTCCCAAAGAATGTACTAACAAAACTCTTGAACAGAAACAATGCGTGATATAAAATCTGGTAATCAACGCCGGAGGTCCTTGAGACAATCCCGATTTGGGCAGAGATTTATTCCAGTCTGATTTCCCATTTTTAGAAATGCGGGAAGGTTTCTAATTTTTTGGGTGGTTTTATGTATGCCCTTGGTAGAACTTTAAAGTTCCTTGGAAACTGAAATAGGATTAGGTGGTAGTTTCACTGTCAGAGCAATGAGTAGGTGGTAGTTTCATTGTTAGAGCAAAATGTAACTCGTTGCGTGGCGTAATTTCGTCTGCATGGGCCCAGTTGGTACAGAAAAGTAAGATTTTAAACTCCATTTCTTAACTAGATATACCCTAATAACGACATAGAATTGCATTCGTCTTTACTTTTGAAGTAAAATATTTCATATTTAAAAATTGGGTTATAACTTTTAAAGTTGGAAATTATAGGGGATTTGAATTAATTTAACTCGGGGTAGGTAAGAAGAAAAACAAACAAAAACAAGACAGTTTGAAAGCATTTGAATCATAGACCAAAACCAGGAATCATTGTAACCTACACCATTAAACAGCAGTACAAAATGTACGTTCATCTCTTATTTAGGACAAAAACAATACTGCTGTCCGAGCAGAAAAGTCTAAAAAGCTTGGAAAGCAAATAAAAACAGAAAAAAACACCCAATTCCAGACCACCTCAGGAAAATGTCAAATACAAGGGACAATAACCCGTATTCCAACAAAGAAAAGATAACCCATCACTCCTATCTCCTGAAACTACCTTTTTGGAGTCAGTATCATCTTCATCATAGGAAAAAGAGGAATTGACATAACCACCAAAAACTTTGTTGAAACGAGCCTATTGAGAAATAAGATAATAATATTATGAGATATAATGATTCATAATCCGACTGGGTGAATAGATGAAACATGTGCAAATAATAAAAAAATAAATCAAAAACAAATTTGAAACAGTATATTAGTAAAATTTTGTTGTAACACATTAGGCAATTGACGTTCCAATCTCTTTGGGTGGATTTTTAAGTTGACGTCGTGGCGTCGTACTGTTTTGACCGTACCCAGTTTGGCTTGGTTCCCTTTTATTTTTGTCCATAAAATTGCGTGCCTAGAAAATGTACGATACTGGGGTCACAAGTAAAATATAAAAAGATATAAATAAATAAGAAATAAATCACCAAATAAAAGGTTTATAAGCAGTTGGGATTGTTAAAACGCTTTCTAGAAGAGAATTACTAAAGATAATAAAACAAAATAAATGTAGTGACAGTGTATAAAGCAGATATCAAGTGGAAACCAGAAAGCATATTGATGGATATTTTCTCATGTTTCGTATTCAAGGAACCGAACCAAACATGGGTACCAAGTCAGACTGTAACCCGACCTGATTCCTAGGCCAAAACGAAGCATACGCGTTTTATTAATAGTTATATGGGCAATACTATTATCCAGGTTATACAAACAGTTATACCGACTATTGTCCAGATTTATGGGCAGTTATATAGACTATTATACAGGTTTGTGGGAAGTTATACAAATTATGGGTAGTTATACAGATGATTATCCAAGTTTTACTGACAGTTATACAGTCTATCCATCCAGATTTATAACCAGATACATAGACTTTTATTCAGGTTTATGGGAAATTATAAGACTTTTATTCAGGTTTATGGGAAATTATAAGACTTTTATTCAGGTTTATGGGAAATTATAAGACTTTTATCCAGGTTTATGGGAAATTATAAGACATTTATCCAGGGTTATGGGAAATTATAAGACTTTTATCCAGGTTTATGGGAAATTATAAGACTGTTATCCAGGTTTATGGGAAATTATATGACTTTTATCCAGGTTTATGGGAAATTATAAGACTTTTATTCAGGTTTATGGGAAATTATAAGACTTTTATTCAGGTTTATGGGAAATTATAAGACTTTTATTCAGGTTTATGGGAAATTATAAGACTTTTATTTAGGTTTATGGGAAATTATAAGACTTTTATCCAGGTTTATGGGAGTTATACAGACTTTTATCCAGGTTTATGGGCAGTTATATTATAGACCCAGACTATTTGGTTTACTATAGCTTTAATATTTATTAATAAAAAGTATTTTAAACACCTGTTACAGTTTTACTTAATTTTTGAAAAATTTAAAAACAAAAATATTTCTTGGTTATCCTCAAAGGCATTTAGTTCCGCATTTTTAAGTTTTGAAATTTGAAATGAAAAAATTATTCTCAACTGGCCAGTTATATAATATTAAGACCATGAAGAACCAAAAATTAATTTTGTTTGGCCTAATGTATAATGTGTTCATTACAATTAAAAATAATCAACAGATAGAAATATGTGCCAATTCAGATAGAAATATGTGCTTAATGAGATAAAAGAAAACCCTCCAAAAATCCCAATGTTTTGGCCGAAGTAGATACTGGTACTATAAATAGTTTCTAAAAATGTGTTACCGGCAATTAAATTGATCTCTTATATTATACATATAAATGATAACTTGGACCTATATATAGATTTCTTTTCAGTAATTTTAGGTTTCAGATGATAAAATTTGATTAATACAATGCTGTATTTTAGTGTTTTGGATGATAAAATCTGATTACTAAAATGCTATATTTTAGTGTTTCGGATGATAAAATCTGATTACAATGCTATATTTTAGTGTTTCGGATGATAAAATTTGATTACTACAAATTCATTAATTACTACACACTATAATGTCGAAACCATGACCACAAAATAATGACATCCAGTATGATATGAAATATGTTTAATAAATGGTACTTCATAAAGTGTTTTAATATTTATTATAATTATGAATGGGAATATACAATATTGTACATCATCAGGATGTATGCACCACTGTCTACAAAACCATTAACCATTAGTTTAAAAACATCTACATACATAACTAATAATTATCAAAATATGATAAACTATGAAAAATAACTTAACATATATCAACCTCCATTATTAATGAAATTGACAATAGTATATGTCATCTTAATCTCAAATGTTTCTGTATTCAGATTTAAATGAATAAAACAAGGGCAAAATATTTTATGAGATGGTAGGGTAAAATATGAAACAGAATCTCAAACAGTATCCCGTTGCTCCGCTTAGCAGCAGCAACTTTCAAATATACATTGCCCCATGTCACAATAAGGCCCTATAACATTAAGGGTGCTGATTCCTAAAACATATTCAGACATGTTGAACATGATCATCCATTTTTGTTTTAGCAAAAAAGGAAAAAAAACACTTCAATATCCCCAATTTTAAAATATTTTCTAAGGGCCTTTAGACCACTAGAATATTCTCAAATGTATTGAATAGGTTCTTAGGGGGTTTTTTTACCCATTTTATCAATAGTATCTCTCAGGTTAATATCCAGGGACCATATTTAAAAAAAAAGTTAACTAAAATATTTTTTAAGGATTTACCTCTTTCACTGGCTGAATTTTAAAATTCTAGTACTAATGAATAAGGTTCCAAACAGACCAATTTAAGTAAGTAATGAGGAGAAAAGGATGCAAATTACCTGCAAGCCGTCATGGCCTTCTTTTTTCTTTTTACTACTATTGCGACGCAGAAAACTGAAAGAACGCTGCCAGACTGGTCCTTTATCAATACTGAAAACATCAAAATCAACTTGGTATTTGATTTGTCAATCTGATTAAAATACAGATCTACATTTCGTTTGTTTTGTTTTTTTTATTTTATTATTTTTTTTTTTTACTTGCGATGGCATGGCCTACACTACATCAAGATCTGACCAGTTGTACTATATGGTCTCGTCAGGGGTCGTACGGGCGGCTTTTGACCCTATAATGTCAGACATTGATTAATCAATCAGCGTTGACGTTTCTAGTGGTTTACCCACAGTTCCGTGCATGGGACACCAAGAAGTCACCGCAACAGACCGTTTCATTGGCTTATCTCTCACTTCAATCAAAACGTCGGTAATATAACAACTCTTCCAGATCCTAGTGTAGTGAAGACAGGTAAAACGAAATTTTGAACTATAAAAAACGAAACGAAATAGGATCTGTGTTTTAATCAGATTAGGTATTTGTATATGTTTTACATGAGTTGATTTTACAAAATGTTGAACGTTACATATTATCTTATATGCATACAATAAGCGAGAAGTAGTATCAGATTTTTGGGAAATAATAAACATACCCATGCACACACACTTCTCGTGAGCTTCAACAATAAATGTCACTTATTTAGTAAATTTAGTAATTGTCTAGACGCAGATCTTATTGGTTTGTCCAACCTATCTGAATCATTCAAGGGAGTGTTACCAGTACTGTAGACGCGAGGCGGTGCAATAATCTACAGAAGGAATATTGTTGTGGGCTTTTATTAACAATTTTAACACAAAGAGATTTAAAAATTGCATCTATTGCAAATTATAAGGAATTGGCGTGTATATGGGGCCTGTGTGTTGCGGTTGTTACATAGACGACAAATAAATTTTTATGTTAATGAATTTAAAGTATACCTGTGACCCCCTTCTGTGTTTTCACCATCTGAATGTTCTGAATCTAAACTCTGGCTAGATCGAGCCGATGATGGTGTTCTCATGGCACCCATTAAGCGACGGAACAAAGATGGAGGTCTCTGCAAGAGCAAAAATAATAAAATTAAAATTTTATCAATGAATTAGGGATATTACACTGCTCCTATTTTTCAGTATAACCGAAAACACCTTTTTAAATTCTTTTACCAGCATATATATATTTTAGCTCTTAGCCAAATAAAATGCATCATTCTTAAAGTATTTTAGTGGGGTTTATTTACAGAAATTGAAACTGAAATATTTTAAGGATGCAGTCTATTCATTGGATGGGATTTAAAATCATGGTACAAATTTCAGTTCCTGGACAATGAAAGGTGACAGTCTTAAAATATTTTAATTTAAGTACTCTTGAAAAAGAACTTAGTATGAAACAAATAATAATGATTTTTATACAATTCTGGTCCATGTTGCATCATCTATCCTGAAAGAAATTTTGTAGATACCCCTGAATCCTTTCAGTCGGAGCAAATCTCATTATTTGTTTAGTTCTTTTAAATATAATATATGAAATATCCTACAAAAGTACATATAATTCACATTCAGATATGTAAATAATCGTGAAATACCAATCACAATTTCTAAGTATAAATAACTTTAAACACAATAGGTCTACTGAACAAATGTCAGTCAGTTTTCTCTTAGCTAACGAAAATGAATAAAAACATATCGTTATGATCATACATTGGAAATTATAGAACTTCCAAAAATACTTGGTGAAAAAATATAAAAAAAATTAAATAATTGTCACTTATTTTTCTCTTAGCTAACCAAAATGAATAAAAAAAATATCGTTATAATCATACATTGGGAATTATAGAACTTCCCCAAAATACTTAGGGAAAAAAATATAAAAAAAATTAAATAATTGTCACTTATTTTTCTCTTAGCTGACAAAAATGAATAAAAAAAATATCGTTATAATCATACACTGGGAATTATAGAACTTCCAAAAATACTTGGTGAAAAAAAAAATAAATAAATAATTGTCAGTTGTATGAGTATTTACATAAATTTATGGAACCATAGATAGAAGTTCCATGATGAACCATAAATGCCAGTGATTTCTTTAATATTATGTGTCGTTCAAAGGTATCATGCTTAATTGTAAAATCTCAAGATGTATACAGTACATGCAATTAAAAACACAAGTAGTGTAGTGGACACACACGAGTCAGAGGCGAATTACTGTTGTGGTAGTTTCATTAGGACTTCGTATTTATTTGAATCAGGAGAAAACTAGCTGAGCTTCATGGAAAGATGGAAAGACTTCATTCAAACGACAAAATGAAATGTAGGTCTTAAAGATGAGGGTAGTTGTTTGATGGCTCCCATGCTAAGAAAATGACTGTAACAGGAAGGTTGGAGGAGGGGTTAAAAACCTGATTCTGTTCCTTTAATCCTATTTCTCTTAATGCCTCTGATTATCATTTACTTTTTTCGGACATTATTCTTTATTTATGTTAAAACATACTCAAGTTGATTGCTTAAAATTTAGTAAAAAATAAAACTATCAAAGGTAAATAATCTCCTGGTATTAATTCCAATAGCAATACTAGGATGGGTATCAGAAGATTTTACCCAGTTCTTGATTATGTCATCTGCAAGGGGATGCTGATTGTTAGAAGTCAAGTAGCCAACAGAATCAAACGATTTTAGGACTGAAATTACTTTTAGAGGATCAAATTCTCTTAAATCATTACCAGCAGCTTTAGTTATTAGTTATATAAAATAAAAACACAGATTTTACTATGCTAAGAAGAGGTATTAATAAAAAGTTCTTTCGTCTAAAGAACTTGCCTAATCATTCCATCAGTCAATGTTAGTAATTCTAACTTAAGACCCCCCGATCCCCTTCAAAAAGAAATGTTTTTTTATTATTAAATCTTTATTATTATCAATCTTTTTTACTGTCAATGTTTTTTTATTATCAAATAATATAATCTCTCATTTAATAACTATCAAATTTAATATTTTGATTTATTGTCAATCTACATGCTTTTTCTTATCACATGTTATTTTGATTGACCCAATTAGTGTAGTGTGACAAACAGAACTATAGTGAGAAACAAATTCAAACACGTACATATACTGATTGATCGAAATCCGACAGAAAATACGTTTTAAGATAATATAGAGTAAATCATGCAGAAATGGTTAGTTAAAATACAAAAAATCTATATGAAAGCTTTTATTAAAAATGATTCCCCGGAGTTAAGTAATTCGAATTATCTTTGATCTACCTAAATTAGCATTTTAGATATAGCAAATGTGATTAAATAATCTACAAGTCTTACTTAAATCATAAATTTCGAAAGAACTTAAAATAGTCCTCTTTCAAGCTTCAGCCACAACACGCCTTAGTTAATTAAGATGTTAACTTGAAATTTGAATTTGTCTTGGCATAACCATTGTATGGCCATTTTTATATTGCTTTCTGTCATGTGTTTTCAGTAAACAGAGGGAAATGGGAGTTTAGCATCCAATGAACCTTAAATAGATCTTTTTGGACAAATATACTCCAATAATGAACAGAGTGGGAGGGACACTTCCACAAGTTTAGTCGATCAGACAATCACTCTTTACTCGTCAAATACAAACCTCGGATCAAAACCTGCACGCAACTCAACCCCCCCCCCCCATTTCAGCAAAGAACATTTATTTGTTAAAACATCACAAAATATTCTTGAAAAACGTACATACAACCAGGTTGTTGGGGAGTTGGATCCGTATTCAGGGTCTGGTTTGTAGTAGCAATATTAATTTAGCTTAGTTAGTCTATGTGTAATGAGGGAGGTTGGATGGCTGAATGGTTAGCGTGCGCGCGCTGTATCATTAAGTCTGTCATTGAGTCGACTGGCGTGGTTTCGAATCCCCGGTTGTTCGTGGCAAGGAGTAGGGTCGCCTGTCCAACCTCGTGGGTTTTCTCCGGGACCTCCGGAGAAAGGGCATAATATGTTATTTACAGGGGGATTACTCTATTCAATTGCAAAGAAAATTTTCAGAACTCTTTACCCACCCATAATTTAGTACTAGTTATACATCAAACAAGAGCACAACTTTGATAGAAGAGCATATAATTACATATATATTACGCATAAAGGGTGGGCTGGACATAGTTATGCCAAGTGGGATACAAGCCTAAAAGTGAATCACTGTACACTAACCATCATTTAAAGCATGCTTTACGCATTTTTACCCATCATTTTACCCACAAGTTAAAAAATTTACAATTTGAAAAGGTACAACAATGTAAATAATGTGACAAACTGCAAGCTTCTACTAAAAAGTTTGAAAAAGTTTATAAAAAAGGTGAAAGATTAAAAATTTGTTTGAATGAACTAATTTTGTAATTACCTCCTCTGAATCATTATCCTAAATAAATATATAACACAGAGACTTAATAACCAAATTTATGATATTTTATGTAATGTTGTTGAAATATTTTTGATAATAATGATGACTGACAAATTACTTTATAATCAATGTAACTTAAGGAATATTAACACTTTAAAATCAACTTAAGTTGCAGGAACATCCAGCAAAGGTTTTTTTTATTTTTTAAACTACACCCTTTTTGTTAATAGGATTTGTGTGCTAAAGGCCGTCAAAATGTTGATCTTAATCCAACAAAAGTATTCAAAGACTATTAGACATTTATAATTTTACACAATATCAATATGGCATAATGATGATAATGCTAATGATCATGATAAATGGTGGTGATGACAGAAAGGTATGATGGTAACAATGCTAAAAATACAATAATTTGTAAAATTAAATTCTCTACTTTTAGTTTGCAGTGTTTATACTTAACTGATTAATGACTTGTATTATCATGATTTTGAAGATAATTAATGATGTTAATTACAAAAATATATGAAGTTAGTAAATGTGAAAAATGTAGTGCAATTAATTTTTTAAAATTCACTATTTTTTTTACCATGAACAAATAACCTGTGGTCTTGTCAAATCCCCGGAAACAATTTAATTTTAAATTTAATAATAAAGAATGAATGACCAGGTAAAAAAAATAGGTTTGGAATTAACCACTATGGGGTTTTGATAAGAGTATAATTAGTTCTAGGGTGGTCACGGTAATAAATAACATCAAATAACAATTAAATTAAAGGATTATCAAAATGTGATATTGGATTATCCAAAAAGGTGGCAATAATATTTTTAAGTTTCAAAACACTTTAAAGAATAATAATGTGTCCAAATATACTCAATTTACAACTGCAAGTTAAATTATTTTTTTTACTATTGATCGATCATTTTTTTAAACAGAAATCTTGATGGAAATTCAAATACCTTCTTGTTATAAGAATTATAAAATAGTCAATGATATAAAACTAAGTGGTATTTATTATATTTTCATTCAAAGTGTTGTCCCATATAAAACTCACAAAAATTCTTTTGATAATCAAAGTAATTAAATTTGTGCATTTTAAGCCGTGAAAGAAATATTTTTAATTTTGTTTTAAATCTAAAAAATGAAAACAGGTGAATAAGGCTTTTATTGTGCAGTGAAGATGTTATTAATGTAAATATTAGGAAAAATCAAATTAAGTGAAAAAAAATATGATGTTGAGTAGAAAAAATAATGATTTATTAAGAAAATAGATGATGATAAAAAAGGGAATTTCCTAACATATATCATATGAAAATATGATGATAAAATGTGCAGTATACATTGAAGTATTAATTATTAATCAAAATTCTATTGATATCAATTGTTTTTTTAGCTTTACATGATTGGTGTAAATACAAATGTATATTAGTCATATGGACATTGGAAATAATGATTTCAGTCAGGCCTCCTAATACGCCCACAAGCAGAAAAGAAATGTGTGCTAACTCTAAATTTATTGCCAATAAAAACTTCACGAAGAGAAAGGATACTGTACAAAAGACATTTGAAAATTAGTGTTCTTTCTTATGCACAATGAAAATTAGAACCACGCTTTCAAAATCTTGAACATAAGGGGAGGGGGGGGGGGGTAACTTTGAGATATGCAATTTAAAATTCTGAATTTAAATAGATCCCTTGGAATTTGAAAAAAAACTAAATAACTCATGACTTGTGGAGAGGTCAGAAGAAATTGTGAACAGACACTGGATAATGGTGACGACAATGTACATCCACATTATATGTGGGCATATAAAAGGGTCTTGTAAAACATTGTGAACAAGATAAAAAGAGTAGAAGAGAATATTCCATAAAAATTAAGGTTAATGTTAAAGAAGTATGCCCATGCATTATAAATTTTGGAACCATGCACAGTATTGTGTACATGTGGAAAGAAGTAAATGTTTACCTCGTCATGTTCTTCTAGCTGTAATGTATTAAAATAATGAGGAGATATCTACGGATACAAACAGACAGATTATACATAAGACATACACAAATATACTAATAATCACATCCTTTCAGCCTCAACAACTTCACATACTTTTATACACATACATCAACAAAGGATATATGAATGCTGTGAGAACTCTGTTCTATTGTCAATATGAATCGGGGATAGTGACAGGGGACACTATTCGGTTCTATATAAATATATCCATGTTATGAACACATTGTAATAATAACACAACAAATTGTATACACATACAAACCAAGCTATCCAAAAGCTGCTTTTTAACGATTTACAGCTCACAAAAGACAAACATCGAATGAGTGGATTCTATTCAGTATGGGAGGATTACATTATATGTAATTAATATTCAACACAGAACTAGATAATATTTAGCTTTTAGTTGGTCAGATTCTCAAAAACTTTAAACTTACTCAAAAATATCAACAAATATTGTCTGATGGGATAAATCAACAACTGATTGACAAATCTACATTCAGTTTAAAAGTGCCTGGTGCATTACAGAGTCCAAAGGGTCTCATGTCTTACTTATTTATTTGCCTCATAACAAAGAATTTATATTTCGTAAATTTTTTACTCTTTGATAACTTGCATAACGAAGCAACCTGCCTATTTGTCCTAGTAGATAAAAGTTTTTGAGAATACTGACTAGGGTGTAATCTATATTTCAACTGTACGTTATTTCAATAAACTACAAAAAATTGGAAACACAAAATGATATAATTTTCATATCGTCATTGAATCATTACTAATAAATTTTGTGATTGTTTAAATGGACTCGATTGTTAATGTCCAGCAGAAATCAAGTTAATAGGAATTACTTGTAATATAAGAATTATATTTTGCCAGTCATTTTCATGTTGACCATCCTCATAGCCTTTTGAATTTAGAATTACTGGATCTCTTTTAGAAAATTATGGTATTTTGGCTTCAACTCACATAACATTGGTAGGAATGATTTAACATTTGGACTAAAAATAAAAAGTGACAAAAATTTCTAAAGGGCAAATTAAGTGCCTACCATTCTAAGATTTGAGTTTTGTGTTTGGCTTGCCTTGTAAGCTTTCCAGTTTTCAGCAATCAGCAAACCAGCATACACCTTCCCAACAGTCAGTTTACCTTCATTAATTTCTAAACATGGAACATAAATTTTTTATTATATCATGTGTCATTTATTACATCATGTGTCAATTATAAGGGAATACAGTTTAACAAAACTTTGGTAATTTCGAGAATAACATTTTGAGAAATATCTTTCCTATGGTCACAACTAGACAACAATTTAATGTCAATCGTTTAGTACAGTCAGTCACTACCAGTTAAGCTCGGTTCATACTACATCCGTATCCATAAACGTATCCGCATCCGTATCCGCACCCACGTTTTGCCGTTCAAATAGAAAACGCGAAAACATCCGGCTTTCAAGTCTGAATTGTCTGTCAGAGATAACATATTGTCATTTGCAATCATGGAGTCTGACAGTGACACAGAGGAAGTCTTTCTTTTGTATTTGTGGACCCAGAGAAAAAAGAGAGTAGGGGTCCATGAATTGTTACAAAGAAGAAAGAAATATGGAGAATACCACAACCTGGTGCAAGAATTGTATTTTCATCCGGACAAATTCAGACAGGCTTTTCTTGGAATGGATTGAGTTTCTATTTGGGGAGATGATGTAATAAGGGAAAAGTACTCGCTGATTGGCTAAAGCTCGGCTCACTAGCCGAAATGCCGGACTCACTTTACAAAAATACGCTCTGGGAGCAATCAATCCGGCTTAACGGACGCAGTTGTTTTTGTGCGCAATACGTGCCGGATTCTATTTGAACCCTTTCTCTAAAAGTAACTAAAGTATACCAGTACGTATTCACACACGTATTTACGGATACGGATGTAGTATGAACGGACCTTAATACATTGGAACTGGGCTTCACAATCCAGTGCCTTTATGGTTCAACAACCCAAGGCCTGCACCAAAGATTACTCTTGCTTTAATATATATTTACAAGGAGCATAGGGCATGATTAAGGTTGGTTTTGTAATCCTCCATGTGAAGGTTGTAGCAGGAGCTCTAGTCTATAACTAAGATTTTGACCATCATTTTAGCAAGTATAATTAACTGATAATCCCAAGTATATGTCTTAAAACCATTGTAGTTAGTAAAACAACAAAGTACAAACAATCCAAAACATTAGTCAAAATTGGAAGTCCTAAATAAGATAAATGATCTAATAAGATAATCACCTTCCTCGGGTGGCATTAATATATGTTGCATCTTTTTAGCTTGTACTGGCCAACACTGTTTGATAATGTCTTTCATTTCTTGATCCTTCTTATCCATCTCTTCAGCTGTAAAAAAAACCACACAAATTCAAAATCATGAAATTGCACCATTGAAATCTTGAGAAAGTTCTTTTAGTTAATCATAGACTACACTTTCTCTAATTAGACACCCATAATTCCAAGTTATCACTCCTTACAAAATGATGTAGGTGGGTGGCCGAATGGTTAGCACGTGGGCCCTGTATCATAAGTTCATTGAGTCAGCTGGCTTGGTTTCGATTCCCCGGTTATACATGACAAGGAGTAGGGTCGCCTGTCCAACCTCATGGGTTTCTTTCCACTGCTAAAGACCCCTACGCGCAAGCGATTTATTGAAATAATGTTTATGGGTGCAATGTCAGGTAGGAGAATTTACCCAGGACAGTGTCACTTTTGCCTACTTTTCAAATTTCCAACTGTCAGAGGTTCTTTTACGAGCACGACATTTTGTACACAGGTATTTTTCATTTGAGTCTATCCTGGAAATATAGCTAACACTTCAAATCTACTTACCTACTCCCATTTTGATCATCAATGATTCCCGAACTAAAGCAAACAAGGTAGTTGTAAAATGAACCGTACCATCATCTCTTATAGGCATGTTCATTCTTATTAATTTCTGAAATAAATAATCATTTAAAATAAAACTCTAATCTTCTTCAACATTACAATTAAACACACATTATGTAAGAGCTAAATGTTTTCTAAATTATTGGCCTGCGATATTTACTGGATTATGATCCCATTTGCTGCTCGATTTCCATTCATAATTTAATCATGAAATGGATGATCGAGATTATGTTTTTTATCGTACAGACTTTAGTAATGATGATCGCGGCTAGGCCGAAATTTCAATCGCTTAATTCCTGGTTCATAGTGGATCAATTTGACTGAAATTTTCAGCAAATTGCCTTTACATTATGTAGTTTTTAACTATTATAGTGAGAACTGTCAGCTCTTTTTCTAATCTCCCATAATTTATCTTTAAATGGTTATCAATAATGTCTATATTCAAAAATAAACATACCCGATAAGCCAGTCTGTAAGGACATTTTTTACCAAAACCGACAGGTGGTTCCATTTCTCTCAACACATCATACATGTCTGTATAATGAATTCTCCCCCTGAAAAATGTACATACACAAAATATAGTATTTTGTCCAGTTTCTTCTCACTTTAACACATTAATTGTACCAATACTGATTGGGACACACTATAGCTGATGTGCATAGATCAGAAAGTCAATCATCTTCAAACTGGGATATAAATTAATTGATTATAATCTAAAAGTGTTGATAGCTATTTTATAAATTGCTTTTCTATCCTGCCGGAATATGCAATTCTTCTTTAGCTATGGATTTGAAAATTAAAATTTAATTATTGTATGGGGCATCATGCCATAAAGCGGAAATAATACTTACGTGGCCCCAGGATCTATAACGGACCACATTCTAGTGTACTCATCCAAATGATGTGGACCGAGAATTGACGAGTCTCTCGTTAAGTAATCAAAATTATCCATAATAACAGCAACAAATAAATTCAACATCTGAAAAATACAGAATTCACACGTTGAAGAAATAAAATGAGATGTGTTTTAGTAAATTGTTTAAGTGGCATTTAGTAACTGGATGGGAATAACACATGACACAATTATATGGAATACAAGTTACTTAAAGAGTTTATTTACAGCGACGTTTCGACCAGGGTTCTCCCGTCTTTGTCAAGCAAAGAATGTGTCATTGACAAAGACGGGAGAACCCTCGTCGAAACGTCGCTGTAATAAACTCTTTAAGTAACTTGTATTCCATATAATTGTGTCATGTGTTATGTGTTTTAGTGTTCTACAGCTCGGCACATAACATGGAGACAGCAATATACAGTGCTGTGTGATATGAGGGAAATTTTGCCCAGATAGCAGTGTTTGATGTTCACACCAATACATACACCATCCAGACTGCTATTTGCCAAGCTCTCCATCCTGAACCACAAAAAAGGGGAAACCACACTAAAAAATAAAAAGACCTAGGAGTTATCTCCACTAAAACGTTATAAGTTATATCACTTGAGAAACCAGGCTGAAAATTACTTAGGCCAACAAAGGGATTGCAGGGAGGGCATGGTGGGGACCTCCTGTTTAATGAGCCAGTGTCTTACTCATTGAGCCACCGTGGCTTTCCTGAGAATAACTATCTGTAACACTATTGTCAGATGTGTAAGGCTCAGTTTAGTTTTTCTAGGAAAATATAAAACTTACATAATAACAAAACAAACACAAGTCTGTGGGTTCTTTTAAAGGAGATATTTTAAAAATAGACGAATTTAAATATACTTACAAGAAAAGAACAAAGAAATATAAATGTAACAAAATATCCATAGGCAAAATTTAGACCACAGCTATTTTCGCGATCTTTATCTTCGGGAGGGTAAGATTCAGGGTCACATGGTCGACCATGTAAACATGATAACATGATTTGCTGCCAACTCTCCCCGGTTGCACATCTGTAAAATAAATAATTCAAATTTTGACAAACCCAATTACTTATTTGACAACATCTTCATGGTACGGACTGAAAATAAAACGGCTATTTTCAATAATTTTAATCTTAATTATCTGGCACGACAGGTCCGACATGTTTACAGATGCCATTGTTAAAGGTATATCAGGCTCTTCATTGTCTGAGAGTTAATACTTGAGCATTCAGACATTTCAGTTTAACCTTTCTTCAATAAGGGCCCATGTCTCTTCAACTAACTTCACTTAAACATTTAAGCCATTATGCAACACCATATTAAAAAATGAAATGAAATGGGGTTTAACATCCTACTGTTCTACTCCGAACTGGCATACGCGACCATACAGTGTGCTATTGCTATGAGGGAAATTTTGCCAGAACAGCAGCACTAAGGCCTACTCTTATATCGAATTCCAACTGTCAAGGGATCTTTTACGTGCACGCCAATGTGTACACAGGACCTCGGTTTTTACGTCCCATCCTGCATCACTGAGAAGGGGGAACCACTCCAGAAAATCTGGATGAACTTTCTTGGCCAATGCAGGGATCAAACACCCGACCTTCGGGCTAGCAAGCAAGCGCCATACCCACTTAGCCTCCGTGACCCACAACACCATATTAAGATTACCTGAATAATAATGTTAAAGCCTGGAAGAAAGTTCTAAAGTTGTTATGTCGATTTATTCCTGTCTTAGAATCTAACTTTATATTGCCAAACACCTAAAAAAGAAAATTAACATAAAACTTATTGATATGAACAATATCTTCATAAAATCATTTCTTGAAGGGAAAGAGAGAGGGAAATGGGGTTTAATGTCCACTCGGCACAAACTAGGTCATTTTGGGACTAACATATGGTTCAATTTTATTTCAATAATTCGCTTGTGCATAGGGGTCTTTAGCAGTCGGAAGGGAACCGGAGGAACTGGTGGAACCAAAGAAGACACACAAGGTTGGATAGGAAACCCTACACCTTGTCACGTAAACGCGGTGATTTGAAACCACGCCAGTTGACTCAATGATAGGCCTTCTGATCCAACACGCATAGATTAACTATTTGGCCACCCAACCTCCCGAGACGAACATAGAATTCATTTTTATATGTGTGTGCAATGCCAGGGAGGAGAATTTTGCTTGGGCTTGAACTATTACGTGAAAAAGAAAATGAAAGCTTGAATCCAATCAGTACCCATTTAAATTGTTAATTGCAGACTGCAGCTAAAAGTAGAGATGTGTTGCTCTTGATGAAGTAGTATATTATGCTGAGCTCTGCCTTCATTTCATTCCATATTTGTTGAGGTCAAAAAGAGGGCGAGACAGAAAAATGGGTCTAAACCCCCAATTAATAAAAGCCAGGTCATCTCTGGAGACATGCAAAATAATTACATTTCAATAATTTGGAGGAAACTGGAGTACTATATCCATTAACCTACCTGCATTCCGATTATAGCGTATATAAAAAACAACATGAGGATGAGGAGGCACACATAGGGTAGGGCCTGAAATAGACAAAAAATTATATACAGTTAGATAAATTTCTTAATATAAACACAATTTCTAATTAGGTATAGGACAGATGTTTTACAATAGCTTACCAAACGCCTGTAATTGACCACAAATCAATTCTGTATGTAAATGAAATGGGGTTTAATGTCATACTGTTCTGCTCCGAAACTTGGCTAATGAAGACGGCCATACGCTATACAGTGTGCTATGATGGAAATTTTGCACGGGCAGCGGCACTATGGCTTGCTCTCATATCGAATTCCATCTACCAAGGGATCTTTTACGTGCACGCCAAGGTATACACGGGACCTCTGTTTTTCGTCCCATTCAAACGACTAGACAGCTGTCCTTGCCAGGCCTTCCGTCCTGCACCACTGACAAGGGGAAATCACGTCGAAAAATCCCAATTCTTTATGTTGTCAAAAACTATTTTCCAAGGCATGAAAAAAATTAGGTAAAGTTATGTTGAAGTAAATTATTTACCTTGAAAGACTGGAAGAACGTCCACAGTAGCAGACGTATGGTATAGCCCTGACGTAGTAATTTTACTAGACGAGCAGCTCGGAAAAGACGGAAGAAACCAAAGCTGACCGTTGTAACCTGTAAACAAATATATAAATTTATAATCTTTTATGTTACTTCAGCCTTTCTAGCACTAACATATGCCATGGTTAATTCTGCTTTTCTATGTTCAATTGTGCAATGCTAATGAGGAGATTTTGACCAAATGTGTGAGACTTTTTTATCATTCCATCAAAATGACTAGGGCACCCTTTACTATTGTGGCCTGCTAACACTACCTATGACAAGTAGGCTCAGCTATAATAATTTTTTTATGTGTCATTATAATGCCAATGGGCTTATTATCAAGAAGTTTATTTTTGTAAAAAGCAGGGGCATTTGCAAGACCAAATGACAAAACACATAACTATGTTATGGTGTCAGGTATAATGATCAATCAATAGCGAGAAGTTATCCTTTATTGTAAATGTTAATCAACTTTAATTACCAAGGTATTATCATAATTGCAATACTTACTAATAATTCGGATATAAATACATCTATGATACTGCCTATAACTGTGGTAAAATCAAAAACGTTCCAAGGATCTCGGAAATAGTTCTACAAAAAAACAATACAAATTCTGAATTTGTTATATTATATTCTATTTCTTTATGAATCCGTTATTAAAATATATCTAATTCATACAATAGGTAGATATTATTGTTAATAAATTATGAATCAACATTCCACATAAATTCCCCATGTATTTCTTTTTTAAAAAATTTCCAAAACATGTAAATAATTCATTGCCTGATTTTTTTAAAGTGAAAATAACAATTAATGGACACAATAGGAATCATCAATTTCAGAAACAAAACAGATCTATGATCTCTATCAACCAAAATTTCCAGAATTATTTTTTTCTTTTATTGATTTTTAAAATTTATTTCACAATCAATCAGAATCAGAAAGATGATCAACTATTTAACAGCATCAAGGAACTGATTAATTATAATGGTTTTAGTCTTATCATAAAGTTGATGATTCTTATTTAATAATCATTGGGTAAGCAATTAGAAGCTGGATAAAAAATCATTACATAAACTATTAACAATTATTATGGACAACATAACATAACCGTAATACTACTCTATAATTTTAAGTAGTATGTACTCCACTTTACCATCTGATGAAAAGGTGTATCTAGCCACTATAGCGTTAAAACTTCTTGTCATAACACCAATTAAAAACATTTTTAAGTCCTTTTGGATCTGGATAAATAAGTAGCAATTTAAGTTCCATAAATTAGAAAAGATTTTGAGTAGAGCACACAGGTACTTTTTGCTTTTAAATTATTCCAATACTCAAGATATAAGCAGCAAAAGTTTAAATATGGTTCCTGAAAATTACAAGCTCTAATTGGTGTGCCTAAAGAGGTTAAAACTTTAAGTCGTAAGTCCAGTGTTCTAGCTACAAAACCAGCCATGCTTTCTAGTAGAGGTATGTTATTGATAATTATTATTACTATAATGTTACAGATACCGACATTAATCATGCAAATCTTTACTACTTGTACATATAAAAAAAAATTAAATTAAAAGGTGGTAAAATGAACGAAGAAACTAATAAAAAGTCGAAATGGGGAGAGAAACTAGCACGATATACAATGCATTATGGGTAGGATCACAATATCACAACGCATATAAGAACAATAGATGTGAATTCTTCTCGATTACGGAAATTGTCCAAAACAACACTTCTCTTTTTTCAAAAACAAATTCCAGTGCCATTTCGAAAGTATTAACATTTTTGAATTGTCATATTCCCAGTTTCTTTATGGTACATTGGAATAAAATAGCTACAATTATAGCGTAAAAGCGGGAAAAGAAAAAAAATGGCTTGCTGACGCTAAGCAACTTAAGACCATAGACAGCAGCAGTGATAATTTACTATTTTTTTTTTTTTTGGTTTTATTTATGTTGATGGAAAGAAAACACATTTACATGTACGTATCTAATTATCACAACACTGGGGATACGCCTGGCAAGTTTTGCAAGATTTATTGTTTTACTTCGCTCATTGGTATGATAAACTTGGTCAAATTCAAAATAACCTTTTATAAATCACATCAAACGCTCAGAGTTTTCAAAAGGAGTCTGCAGTCTTTTACAGTATTTGTCCACTATCATGCCTGACATAAAAATCTTGAAATTATTTGGATTAAGATTAATTAATTAATACAAACGCACGTTCAGGTTAGGAGAAAATTAAAAAGAAGACCTGCATTTAGTGTCCAACCAAATATTATGTCGCAAATCTTGCAAAAACATGCCGGAGCAATAAAATTACGTAGCACAATACTGAATATTCACAGGAAATTTTAATTGGACAATTTCAAACCTTAACTCCAAAAGCACAAAGCTTGAGGATAAATTCTATTACATAAAATCCAGTGAAAACTGCGTTAATTTTACTGAGCACTCGCCCCATTTCTATGCCTCTGCTATTATGCGAGTTTTTCCCCGGGTCAAACTGAAAGTTAAGCAGGCAATGCATAATAATTTTATAAACCCTAAAAACCCATTTAAAAAAATACAGCTTGCAAAAACTTTGAGACATTTACTTAGCCTACTATTTTTTAGTCATATTCAAAAATGTTGATATCATGTTCAAATTATGGAGGCATTTTAATGTCTAAATGTAAATATTTGCAAACTGTATAATCGTATCTTGGTAAAACAATATATAACTTCATCGATACATATACCGATATGAACAGATTGAACAATGGGATGAATTGCTTGTTATCTGAAAATCTGATACCGGCATACAGGAAAGCCTTTTCTGCATGCAGATATCAATGAATCTTTTCTAGAAAGATGTAGGGACTCTCGGTTGGTTTTTTTTCTTTTGAACTGTTTTACCAAGATATTCCAAAAATTGCGTTCTCAAGCCTGAAAATAATCTAATCTATTCCTTTTTATCACTAACTGTTACTATAAGCTCATGTATTGTTAATACATTGATTTGTTTTAGGAATGGAGATACAAATAAGGATATTTGACTATTTCCAGGCTTGCTTATTAATTTGGTGTGGTTAAAAGATTGGTGCGGATATATTCTAAAAATATTAAATTATGTGATATTTTCTGCTGTTAAAAACAAACACTCCAAAAATTGGTGAAGCATAAACGTAAGTTCAACAAGAAAAAAAAGTAAAAAAAAAAATGAAAACTTGTCTGAATAATATGATTTAAAAAATTGATCCAAGGAAATCCTCTGAAAAGAGGAATCCGTGTCATTCATAGATTCCAGTTATCAACATATTCAAACAAATTTTGACTTTATTTCTAAATAAAACCCATCATCCAAAACTAAAATTTGATGTATTAAAAACGGTAGTCTCGTGCGATTCTCTTACCCTCGGACCAAATCCGATTATCTTAAGTAAGCATTCAATAGTGAAGCATATGGCGAATCCCATATTAAGATACTTCTGTACATCTTTATAGGTGTCACTCTGCCCATGATACTGTTGCAAAACGTATAAATATAGTATTATTACTGGCTACAAAACAAGTGTAAGGGAGGGACAGGCTTTTAAGTTGGGGGTACTGTTACTAATCCATCTATCTGGTTCCTATGTAGATTCAGACCACACATGTAAGTGGAGTGAATAAGTTTGCCTTGTGAGTTATAGTTTCACGAGTATGAGATATCATTACATTATTACAACTTGAAAACGTCTCAAAAACTAAATGTTCTACTCTTTCATTACTGCCATTACCGTACTGTGAATTTGGACTTAAACGATTTTAAATAAACAATAAAAATTTGAGCTTTGTATCTCTTCAGAATTACAACATTTGTTGTTGACACATGATTTTTTCATACACTGCAAATTCATGCATGGAACCCCAGTTTCTCTTTCATCCAAGCAACTAGGTGTACGCATGCATCCTTGCATACTCAGAAGTTGCTACCCTTGGAAAGCCAGAACCTAGCTTTAAAAACATTCAGAATGTTTCTTCACAGCCATGCTGGGATTCAAACCAAGCCGGGGTTCTAACTTGAGTAGCTATCATTCTCCACAATTAGAAGTAGGATTAATAGGAGGATTAGCAAACTTAATGTTATTTTGCATGGAAAATGATCTTAAGCATCTAATTAAATATTTCATTATTAGTAATTTCAATGCCAGATGTTTAAATATTAAAGGTTATTTTTGTTGGATTAAAAAAACCTCTTACTCTTGTCCTCTCTAAAATGAAAATAGGATTAATTATTGTAAGAAATGTAAGATATGTGGAAAAAAATATAGAAATAAAAACTTAAATGGTACATTATACTTCAGATATCCAACATTTTCTTCAAAAGAACTATTATCTCACCAAAATTGTTTGCTTACAATTCCTTTTCAGTTAAATAATTTTTCCTTGAATCAATTTCAAGTATATATAGGGATAATGGTAGTTTTTGACTGTGTGTCTGTGGTAATTTTATAATATATAATAAAAGCGTAAAGAATTTAGAATTCATAGAATATATTGCGTATACCAGGGCTCTTGTTTTGGTCATATTTTCCAGTCCTGACTGACTAGCAATGAAACCGACCATCTGGAGAATTTGCCAGTTTAGTTGCCATACATAAGATATTTAAACATGATAAAACTTTAAAAATCTAATTTATAATCTTTATGCAAAGAAAAACAAAAATATTTATTTCTGTATTGAGATAATGTCATATTGCTTTCAAAACAATATTTGGCTAACAGGAGATAAATGTATTATACATGAAATTGTCTGGCTGGTACAGTTAAAGTCGAGACGCATACAGCAAACTCTGCAAACCATATCACGTTTCGAACAATTAATGCTGAAACATTTGTTACCAATACAAACTCAGTACACTATATTAATTTTGGAATTTTGAATATTATTCACCATGTCTTGATGTCCGATTGCGCATATTCCTGGTCGGACAATTTAGGACGTTTTGAAAATAGCGTCGGACATGTCCAGAATATATGTTCGAAATCCCATCACTACAGTAGACTATATATCTCTACCATGAATATAATGGCCAGAAACAATAAAAAATAGAAAATATATTCCCTACCTTCATCATTAGAACTATAGTATTCAGTGCAATTAATGTCATTATAAAATATTCAAATTTGGGTGATACGACTAGTTTCCATATCTTATATTTTAAGGAATCTTTATTCTTTGGCATGAAACGACAAGTTGGCTTGGCATTTATAGCAAAATCTATGCATTGTTTCTGAAAGGAGAAAAATAAGATTATAATGCAAATAATTAATATTTAGATCTTTCCTCCCTCCACTACCCATGATTCAGGATTGTTCAAGCTCGTTCTTCACTTGTCAAAGAATGTGCTTATACTGTTGGGACAAAAAAAAGATGTCTATAGCATTACCACTAATTTCATCTGGTCCAATTACGCCAAATTAAATATTGGCAGCTGGTGCACTATTTATGTTTACATAGTCTGAAGGATTCAATGAAATGACTCTTTTCTAGTTATAATCTTGTACAATGTTCACTGTCGTAAAGTTATTTACATTTTATTTGTGTGCGTGTACTTAGTGTTTTAATGTGCACTTCCACCAAAGGTGATATCACAGACAAACTGTCTTATTTTCATTTTTATTATCTTAGCGAACGCGCAGGGGTCTTACCTGTGGGAGGAAACCGGTGAACTCAGAGTAAACCCACAAGGTTGAGAAGGTGGTCCTATCTCCAGGCCGCATACGCTCACAACAGGGATCGAAACGATAACCACAAGCCAGAGGTGACCGGCCAGCTAGAGGTTGAAGCGTGACACTCTAGACCACTAGGCCATCCCAACCCCCCACATTTTAATTTAAACATACCTGGTTTTTATCTAGATCTTGATCTATAAGCTCGTTATCTCCCTGTTCCTGGAATGTTATGATAATCAAGGCAACGAAGATGTTCACAAAGAAGAATGGGAACACGATGAAGAAAACCACATAAAATACAGCCATTTCCATTCTGTAGCCTGGTCGAGGACCTTGCTCCTCATAGGTGGAATCCATTGAATGTTTTAATATGCTGAAATAAAACAAATCATTAGCTTTTCAGCTTAAATAAGATTAAATATCTGTATTTACAGTAATTCCTTTAAGCTGATCCTAACGATTCTGAACTTCTTTATCAGTTTTACAGCAAATCAGCTTAAGTGATTAGACAATTTCAACAAATTATGAATTCAATTCAAACTGAAATAAATTCAGATTTTGAATTTAGCTCTATTTGGCATCAATTTAGTCTGAATAGTGAATAAATTCAGATTTTGAATTTAGCTCTATGCGTGCATCAATTGAATCTGAATAGTGAAATAAATTCAGATTTTGAATTTAGCTCTATGCGCATATCAATTTAGTGTAAATTAAAAAATAAATTCAGATTTTGAATTTAGCTCTATGAGAAGATCAATTTAATCTGAGTAGAAATGAAGAAATCTCCAAAACCTAGCTTTGTTCTGATTTTTTTAAAGGGATCAATTATGAGAAATGAATAAAATTTCGGAATCAAAATATCAGAAGAACTTACAAGGGCCATCCTTCTCCAGTGGTAACAGTGAATAGAGTCAACATGGCTGACATAATGTCATCATAATGAAAATCTTGTCGTAACCATCGACGATCTTTTACTGTAGGCACATTATTGCTGCCTTCATAATCAAAATACTGCCCCCTAAAAACAAACAAAAAACAGCTTGATATAAAATTTGTGAAAATAGTAATTAAATCTTATATTCTATATTATGATATCCTTTTGAGTAACATTAGATTACACAGTTATTTCCCTTCTTATCATAATAAATATAAATAAATAGCCATTTGATACTGCTGGAACATGAAACGAGTTGATAAACATAAACAAAATGAAATGAAATGAAATGGGTTTAACGTCTTTCTGTTTTGCTCTGTCTGGGCTAATGAAGACGGGCATGCTCCATACAGTGCGCTATAAGGGAAATCTTTTCCAGGGCAGAGGCCCTATGGCCTACTCTTATATCAAATTCCAACTGCCAAGGGATCTTTTACGTGCACGCCAATGTGTATACGGGACCTTGGCTTTTCGGCACCACTGACAAGGGGAAACCACGCCGGAAAATCCCTATGAACTTTCTCGGCCAATGCAGGGATCGAACAGGCGACTTCCAGGCTAGCAAGCCAGCGTCTTATCCACTTTGCCACCGTGGCTCCGAACATACACAAAAATTGAAAGTTATAAAATGGTGACTAAATATTTTAATGAAAAAGATCTTACTGGCACTCATCTCTTGTTGCTTTTGATTCATCTGTGCAGTAGAAAAACTTTCCTTTAAATAACTGGACAGCGATGACAGCAAAGATGAATTGAAACAGACCATACACAATCAGAATATTGGATACATTCTTCAGAGAATTGAATACACAATCAAATACAGCCTGTAATAAATGAAATGAACTCAAATTAACGATGTTCTTTTAAATCCCCAACACGGCACAGTAAAATATTGATGCTCATACAAAGTGGCCCTGAGTTCACAAAGCATTCTCAGGCTATAAGTTCAGAATTTACTCAAAATTGCTTACCTTATATATATTTTAATTAAAATATAGCCCTTTATAAAACTTTTGTTTTAATGTATCAAATACATCAATAAGAAACTATGTGCACATTTTTTTTGTTTCTGGATCAAAGATATTTCTCATAAACATTGGTTGAAAGTTGAGTAAATTCTTAACTTAAGTCTGAAAATGCTTTGTGAAATTGGGCCCTGGCTTGATTTTTTCGAGACCTTAAGTATTTTAAATATATGTTAAACCATATTTTCCAACCTACCTTTAATTTGGGAACTCTGTTGATGGTTTTAAGGGGTCGGAGAACTCTGAGTACTCGTAAAGATTTAATGGTGTTTAGATTCTTTCCAGCACTGTCACTGTTCGAAGAGAATACAAAAAATATAATATGGATGTGTGTCCCCCATTTCAGAGCAAAACGACATAAAAACAAGCTCTGAATCTGTGCTCCTGCCCCAGGTTACTCTACCCAAAGTACATGTATCGGCCCACTTTAATAAATGGGTCTAGCCTTTAAACCCCCAAATCTTAGTACATTTAATGGAAATTAATATATTTGATAACTCCTGAAAGATTATAATGTATATTAATGAAATTCAGTTGAATCTACTTAGTAACACTAATAAATTTAATGGGGCTAATCAAAGCAACTATGGTAATCAACCCATCCACATTTTGTCTAATTTAATATTTTTTGGGGTGACACTATTTGACAGTACAGTATATGTGTGGTTTAATGGTGGTAATATATCGATACTGCACGGGGATGTCAGTCCGAGTCTTGCTCAAGACTATTAAACAACTTAAAATACAGACCCTATATCCTACACGTTCATTTCAATGAAATCATCACGCGAGTCCAATATTTCATCTAGTATAAAATAATATATGATTGACCCATTGCCATAATTTGAAATAATCATACACCAACATCGTAGGTGATGTCACATCTGTATTTTAAATCTTAATAAAGAATCCGGTTTATTCCCTTGGTATAGCTTGGTCTGTATTCCACGGAACTCTGCATACATACTGGGATATAAAATATCCACATCCATGTCCTATTCACAACTCAGAAATGTTACCTGTGTCGAATTTCAGAAAGACATCCACTGCTGTCAAGGCAACCTTGCTAAGGTAGCCAATATTATAAACACATAGCCACAAACCATAATCAAAATCAGAAATTCTTTGTTGAGTTCAAAAAGTTGAACTTTTTTTAAACAAAAGTAGACAAAATTGGATTAAAAAAAACTTAGTTAAACATTTGATTCCAGTAATCATTAATGACTGTTGATAAAAGTTAACGCTTAAAACTTACGCTAAAATTGGCCAAAAACCTGAACTGATCACTAAGTATTAATTTATTAAGATGAAAAAATATATTTGACTGCTATTGATGCGACCATCACCAGAATATAAACCAAAAACCAAACCCAATCAAAAGACACATTATTCAAAACATATCATGCATAGATTTTGAAAATATATTTTTAAAAGATTTCCACCTCTGCTTGAGTGAAATAGATTTATACAGGACTCGATAAAAGTCTTCCTTTTGAATTGTCAGCACATGTCAATATCAAATGATGGCTCTTTTAGGATACATGATACTTTCAATATCAAATGTATCAAATGATAATCGAATTCACAATTCAGTATTGAATCATTGTCCTTTCAGAAACATAATTATAATAATATATGTTTTATAATATATATGATACCATATAATATGCATGATACATTACTATTATTTATAATATTCATGTTCGTGATACCATATAATATGCATGACACATAATACTATTATTTATAATATTCATGATACCTCATAAATATTCATGATACCATATCAATATTCATGATACCATATAAATATTCATGATACATGATACTATAATGAATACTATTCATGATATCATATAATATTCGTGATACCATATAATATTCGTGATACCATATAATATCCATGATACATTATACTATAATTTATAATATCCATGATACCACATGAATATTCATGATACTTTTATTCATGTATGAATAATGTGTCTCTTTCAAACTAGTTGGAGTGTTAGTATAAATATCAATCCATGAAAATTCAGGAATATTGAAAATGTTAGTTCACTGCAAGTCCCATAAAGTAACATCCCATTTATCATATATCATACTTCAAATTTAAAAAATATCAAAATGCATCATAAAGCTTAGGGGTACCTTCACCACATCACATACTAAAATAACGTTATCTTTCTTTAATAGATTTCAAAATTACACATTTCAACTACACTTTCCAAATTTAATTTGTTCACTTTTTGTCTAAAATACAATGAAATCTGGCAAAACAGACATATTATTCAAAATCTAACATAATTTCACATAAATAATTTGAATCCCACTGATTTTAACACATAGCTATCTAAGCTATGTCAATTAAGCCAGGTTCCATAATGATTCTATAGTATGCCTATATATACCTAACCTATATTTTAACTTTTACTCACCACTACACTGCTAAATCTAACCGAATTATCTCCCTTTGCACAAGATATATTTATAGGCTATCCTTAAAAATCTAATTGTCTGGGATAAAAGGAATAAGGGGTTGACGAAAATGTCATCTTAAAACTCAGGCTATTTTATAATTACCACGAAGAATGTAATTTTCTTGATCCTAGAAAAAAATTATTCAGGTCGACCCCCTCCCCCGTTTCTTCAAAATCTAAATGAAAACACTTTTGATTTATCTATCAGTACCTGTGCAAGAGGGATAACTCTATATAAAATGATTATTCTAAATTTATATGAAGGGGAAGTGGTGTTTTAAGGACTATACATTATCTGTTATAAGATTTGGTGTCAATAACCTCAACTCCCTTCACTGGGCTAAATCCATAAATTAAGTAAAAAAAAAACAAAGCGCATGAAAGGGATATAACTCCTAATGATAGGATATGACAGTGGCGCCACTTACCCGAACACAGCATCGCTTAGAGAAGAAATTTTAATAAGATTTAAGATAAAGAAGAAGAAGAAACTTTCTCAACAAATCAGTTACTGAGATTTTGTGATAGGATTTTTATTACTTTGGAATAAATTTTATTACTTTTACCTGTATTCAAAAATAATATTGTATCCAACGTTCAGACTATTAACATAAGTGTCCCTGACAGGAATTCTTGTCAAGACAAACATTTGAAGATGATGGAATTAAACCTTCAATAACTTGCTCCAAATGTCGTTGCAATCCATCAAAAGCCAATGAATTTGTAAGCTTTTAATACTGTTCCTTGAACAGAGGGAGAGAAATGGGGTTTAACATCCACTAGACACAAACTAGGTCATTTCGGGACTAACACATGGTTCAATTTTAATTCAATAATTCGCTTGTGCGTAGGGGTCTTTAACAGTGGGAGGAGACCGGAGGACCCGGTGAACACTCACAAGATTGGACAGGCAACCGTACCCCCGGTGGAACTGGAGGAACCTTTTAGGCCAACAGGAACATCCCGGTTAGTGAGTCTGCACCACACTCACTTAGATACCGATGCCAAGACTTCAGTTTCAAGAAAATAAACAGAAGAGTACTTATTGGGAAAGGAAGAGAGAGAGAGAGAAATGGGGTTTAACGTCCACTCGACACAAACTAGGTCATTTCGGGACTAACACATGGTTTTAATTTTATTTCAATAATTCGCGTGCGTGTAGGGGTCTTTAGCAGTGGGAGGAAACCGGAGGACCCGGAGAAAACCCACGAAGTTGGGCAGGCGACCCTACTCCTTGCCACGTACAACCGGGGATTCGAAACCACGCCAGTTGACTCAATGACAGACTTTATGGTACAGCGCGCACATGCTAACCATTCAGCCACCCAACCCGTCTGGGAAAGGAAGCTACTACCAGTACATTGAATACAATAAAAGAACTATATTATTCAATAAATATTAAAGTTTGCAAAAATACATCACAAAATCTCAGCTAAGATAATTTGTTCTCAAAAAGTAGTTGGTTAGTATTTGTATTAAGAGCTAATAACAACAACTAAATATAACAATGAAGTTTGTCACAACAGATATTCATGCAAACGCCTCTCACTTACGATGCAACGGCTTTGCCACTATTACTGAACAAATTAAAAATAGAGACAAATAATAGTAATACATTTACACATTTACATCTAAGGTAAACAAGAAATTATTGCGTCTTTTATTAATTGCCAATTAGGGCTTGAAATAACTGACTTAGGGTATTTCAGACTCTGTGCAGAGTACACTGAACACCCCACCCCCTGGACAATGACACCAGTTAAGCTATATTTCAATGCTAGTCATGTTGGCACTGGCTGAGCATTGAGTAATTTTCTAGTTAAAGATACATTATGTAAGATTTAGATAAAGAACTAGCTATTCTTGCTATAATAGTTCGAAAATAGATAATGTAAAATGAATAATTTGAAAATTTAATTCAAATTACTCTATTGCGAGCGAAGGTTTGACAAGACGTATGCAATAATTTCAACCACAGTACTGGTTGTTCGAAGCTAAGTCTCGCTCCTCCATTTTTAGCTTAAATAAAAATATGGCTGAACTGTTCTAATCTATTTAATATCGTAGAAATCTGATGCCATCAAGAGTTGATTATGGCCTGGATAAGTTAATTAAGTTAAGAAAGATCTGAAATAGGCAGATTTAGCTCTTGCATAATGTATGTTTAATTCGTGATTTTTGAAAAACAGAGATCTGTTTCTTTTTATCAGATACAGATTAAGATTTTGTAGGTCACAATCCAGGAAAGACCGCTATTTGTTACCAATCTTAGAATTTTTTTTATAAATAGATAATTTAAACACGTTCCTTAATCCAGCAGTCTCTGAGGTTTATTTTAAGCCATGTTGCTAATGTGATATGGAAACAATAGCAAAAATAAAATACTTGCAATAATATCAAGTTTTTCGGAAATTATAGCTGAATGAAAGATTTATAGCTGTAGTTGTAAGATATTTAATTTTTGCCTCCTATATGTTTGAGAAATTTAAATGCACAAATTGCAATAAACTTCCAGTAATGTGAAATTAAAGAAGTAAAGCCGCAAGGATTAAGTTTTTGGATTGAGCTTTCAAATCTCTGCTAAACTCTCAGTAAATGTTTAAGATTTGACAATCTGAATTTGATTTTTGTCAGTACCAATACTCAAGTGTCATCCAGTGAATAAACAGAGATTCTTTTGGTAAAGAGTTTGTTTAGGATAGAAATTAAATGATATATATATATATATATATACATAGGCACAATCTGAGCTGAAGCAACAGTATAAGACAGGTTCGAAAAACAAAATAATTGAAAATATTTTTGTCCACTTGAAATACAACATTCAACAGTAAGGCCAAAAAATATAATAATAATCTATTTCTCAGACAATGTCCATCCATTTTCATACTCCATAAAA